AATATTAAAGTAAATGCTGTAGCTGTAAACACTGAACACAAGTCTCGCTGTATTCAGGCGTAGGCACAAGAGTAAAAAACATTTTCCAAACTATAAAATGTGCCAGCGTACATTGCATTTCAAATGTTTGATTTTTAATTATTCATTTACACGAACAGATGGCACAGTATAATATAATAGCTAACCTATATTATTATTTATACACAATGTGTATGATGTGTTCGATTTCAAAACGAAAATATAAAAAACATTTAATGACCGTGAAACCTTAGAAAATAACTCGTTTTCGTCGTCGTTAGGTGTTCACTATTAGGTCTAACACCTTTATCGTACGAATAATCGTCAAAATAAATGTCCTTCCGGCTATATGCTCACAATATATACATATTATATTATGTATTATAATATATACAGTTTACCATGTGTATGTGTGTGTGTGTGATGTATTATTCCGCGGTAACGAATGATTCTTGTAGGGAAAGAAAAGTTTTTTTTTTTCTTCAATATTCTCTCACGGGTATACCTACCTACTTTTATCTATGCATTATTATAATACATTTATAAATCACGTATAGGTATACTCGAAAATCTATTCGCGCGCGCACAATGACGACTGGGTGTTTATACGTGCGGGATAAATTACGGTACAGACACACTATAGGGTCCGCCTTCTCTGGCATATCGTTCGGAGACCTATTATATACATATATACAAATATTGTATATTATTATATTACATACGCATTATGCGGCCGCCCCCGCGGCACGTTTCGCGCAGGTAACAATCGGCCAGAAACTGCAGCAGCAGCCGTGTCGGTACAATAATATTATATAGGTGTACACACGCGTACGTATATATATATATATATATATATACACAGTACGCGCATTACGTATACGACGACAATATTGGCGATCGGCCGTGGGTATACATGTATGTGCAGAGTGGCGTACGGTAGGGTATATATTATTATTGTGTAGCTAGGTATAGTTCGCAACGCACCGGAGACGGACGATATCCACATTCCCCGAGTGTCAATCACGACGACCGTTGAATATAAATATATATATATATACATACCTATAATAAATAACGGCCGTCCTATTGGCAATTTTTTTTCTATTTATTTTTTATTTTTATTTTTTTGCTTTCCTTCTTCTTCGAAACGTTTAATTCGGTTCCTTCCTCCCGCGCCCCGCGCATTTCCCGTCTGCCGTTCCGTCTGCGGCGAAGACGTCCCCCCCACGGTCGCCGCTCTCCCATCGTACGCGTATATACATACACACAATATAAATACAGGATTCGGTCGCGGGATCGATCGATCGATCGATCGGCTTTTTCAACATCATCGGTAATCGCCGATGCGTCGTCGTCGTCGTCCAGGGGCAGCAGACAGTCTTTGTTCTCGATTATTTTATACTTATTTTTTATTTTATTTTTTACTCGCTTTGCTCACTACTCCTCTGTCTCAGTCTCTCGCGCGCGCGTATGTATTTTATTATGAGCGGTATTTTCAAGTGCAATTCCATTGTATGCGCAATTGGGTTTTATTATCACTTTTTTTTTTTTTTTTCATGCCGTGCACAGTGGCCGTCTCTGTCGTCGTCGTAGTCGTTGTCGTCGTCGTCATTAGTCTTCGCGTCGAGTGGTGGGGGAGGCGCATAATAATAATAGCAATAAAAAAAAAATAAAGAAAGAAAAAGAAAGAAAGACAAATATAACAAAACAAAACAGAAAAAAAAAAAAAGAATCGGAATAAAATAACAATTGTCGGTATCCACGAAATTTGTAAACAATACTCGAACTGCAATTGCAGTGAACGTCTGTGCGCGGGACCGATGTTTTTTCACCTGTGCCAACATACCCGGAATACCGCGCGTGTGGCTCCGGCGACCGTCCCGTCATTAATTAAAAGCACGCTTCTACAAAGTATGCGCTCAAAAATGTCTCGTGTACAAGTTTTTAAGCCAACGGTCGTTATGTTTTATTACATTAATTCCCGTGCACCACACGTTCGGTCCATAGCGATATACGTATACTTACACTCACACTAGCGCACATCATCCGCATGCACGGGGAAACAGATGGAGACGGAGAGAGACAGAGACAGAGAGAATCGACAAAAAAATTACGGACATTGGTATGCCCTAAATGGCAATGCTCAAATAACAGTGTTTATACTTTATATAAAGAATACGCATACGGTCGGGTTTTGACGGCGACTATAGGCCTATATGTGTAGTACACATACGCGGCGATTTCGTTTTTCGTTATTTGTTATCGACCTTAATTTTGCATTTCCGATATTACTATATGTGTGTGTGTTATAATATATATATATATATATTCTATAGTCACGTGCGCTAAATTATTTTTGAGTGTACATAATACGCACTATGCAGTGCATTGAAAACTATTACATAATTATAATAATTCATATTATTCTTAATACGTTCGAACTACTTACCAGCTATAGAGGTTTTTTTTTATTGCTATGCGTACACTCATTACACCTTGGAGAGCTGTAGGCATACCAGCACAAAATAAATGTGTTTATTGTAAGTTTGTTATGTATTAAAACAGTGCTTAATATTATCTTCACCGCCGTGTTCTCAACGCAGTTGCATTATATATTAATACCGTGTTCATATATTTTTATAGTACCTATATATAATTATTTACAGTACTAGAGACGTTAAGGCTCGTGTAATTGTAACGTAATTGTCTAATGATGGATTATGTGAAAATTGAAGAGATTTTTGACAACAAATCGTTTACATTCACACCCTAAACACAGGTCGAGCTACCTGGTGAAAAATTGCTACCCATTACGACCGACGTCACTATAAATATAATTTGGTTTTTTCTTTTTAATGTTCATGAAAAGTTATTATGTTCAGAGAACATAATGCAGCATGATATTAATTTGAATGTAATTATATGTTCATTTTACTCGGAAAACAAAAGGCTATTAGTCGTTTTGTTAATGTCGGTATGTTCGTCCACAGTCATTATACTGTTAAATAGAACAGGATTTAGACTGGTAATTTTTTTTTCAGGGAGTTATTAATTATTATTATTATTTATTTTTTTAATACATCACACACTAAACTGTTCACGTGCCCGCAAAATGATCATAATAAATAAACGACAACATTAAATTATTATAGTGCTAAGAGGTGTTTGTTCAATAATCATTTGTACAGAGACTAATTTTAATTTTGCCTTAAATAAAAATAGGTTTGATAAATAGATGTTTTTATAATTCCTTTACAGAGGAGTTAAATTGAAAATAAAATCAACTATGAGTATTAGAAAATACCTATCTCATTTAAATCACATAGAAAGAACTAAAATGATAAACTTTTTATAGTTAAATACACAATGTATATAATCTTAAAATAAAGTAATAATTTTATTTAAAATGTTTGTGAAACAATATTTTAAGCACGGTATAGCTATTATTGTATATCTAGTAAATAGTGTTATATATTTTAATTATTTTATGATAATATTATGTTTTTGGTTTTTTTATTTTCATTATTAAAAACCACATGTTTGACTTATTCATACTGTTAAGTAGCTATTAACCTCTTATTTCTTAGACCACTTATAAAGTACGTAATTATTAACTATTGCTACAACAAAATTACCTATATATACGAATGTATATACGGTATAAAAGTCGTGAGATGAAACTATCGAAAGATTGAATATGATTATACAAAATTCTCTTTACCTATATAAATATTTATTTTTTTATATTGTTTTTACACCTATTCATTTGTTGAAATTATTTCGTCACCGAGATCAACTTTAATATGTGTGTTTAATTTGAATTTAATAATAAATCAATGCATACGAAATCTGAGACTGAGTACAGACAATTCTGTCAGTGTTATCACTAAAGATATTTTATGATTATGATATATTTATATTGTCATTAAAATTGATTATTTTACTATATTATTAATACAGTAGATTGAATTAATTTTTGCTAAAAACTTTGCATTGCTAAATGTCATAGTGTATAATATACACAGGGTAAGTATTGACCTGGAAATACTCAATACTGTACTTACCGCAGCAGTCACTTTAATAATAGTTATTGTTATATGTGAATTGGTTTTCGATAACACTTACGTACAATCCCTTTCGACATAATATTATGCAAGTTTGTTGTGACTAGTTTTTTCTTACGTATTTTCCGTTTACAATCGACCAATGGTCTATCGATCCATTTCAATTAATGGACTCATACTTTATATTTGTTTATTATATAATATATCTTCTAAACTTAAATATATTTTTTATGTACCTGATTACATTGAGCTTATTTGTATCATTGACATTAGGATCGATACGACCGAGTTAATTAAACGTCAATCGTACTTATCAACTGTTTTCAATTGCAAACTGATTCCATGAAAAAATTTGTTCTTAGATTGACCAATATCCTACAAGGCTACAAATAGCGCGTTACGTTACCATATATATATATTATAAGATACCTCTGCGTAATACAACGTATGTATACGCAAAATTCTAATATTAATAATATTATCCGAATATAACTAAATGGTATAGGAACTTCGATTAACACGAGGCCTACTATTCGTACCGGATCGTAAAAGTGAAAACTTCGAAACGCTTTTGGAATTTTAAAGTTCCGATCTGAATTCCGGATATACATCGTTTTCAGGACTACCTATGTATTTAAGTACTATGCTATAGTATATATACTATACTATAAATCGAACCGGTGCGCATTTGTTAACTGTTTTATCGCACACGTATTATGTCAAGTGACGACAGGCTTATTGGCTATTGCCATGTGAACGATCGCGTATTATAGATACCTAGTATTAGTTTATCGTCGAAATATTGTGATACGGATGTCATCATCCGTATCGAGCGCGTTGGCAGAATAAAAAAAAAAAATAATAATAATAATAGTGAAAAAAATCAATATTGTAAAAACGTGTTTTATTTGTTTCCAGGAAACCGACGGGATGAGTTCTAGAGCGTCGGACAGCGGCGCGGAGTCTAGCGGATCGGAATCACCGCCCCCCGCAGCAACAGGTCCAGCCACGCGGTCACCGCCGTCTCCGTCGCCGCCGACGTCCTCGGCCGCGGCAGCAGCAGCAGCAGCCGCCGCGTCTCCCGGTAAGTATTTTTATACGCATAGACAACGGGTTCTATTATTATTATTATTATTATTATCATTATTGTTTTTCTCTTTCTTTGTCGATTTTTTTTTCTCCTTTCGTCTTCTCCCCATCTCTCTTGACTTTGTCTCTTGTCTTGCGTAGGTATATGCGTCCGTTCTTGCACACGTTTCGTATCATTATCGGTTCCGGACCGGATCCTTTTACGGAGGGCCGTCCGCGACGACGCAAAAATAATAACGAAAGAAAAAACGAGACGAAGAAGTATAATATTGTTGTGGAAAAAAAAACTGAATCGGTAGCCGTGTCTCGCGCGCGCCGCAGTTGTTGTACAGCGAGCTATATAGTATGCTACGTACGTTTGTTGAATAAAATGCACTTCACTGCAGCTAGACCGCGTGGCATCTTCCGTTCCCGTTTAGTCGTTTGTCACGTCGTCGCTGTCTCTCTCGCTCGGGGAAACTTACACCGCCACCGCCGCCACCGAGACAGGAAGTGTACCGGAAACGGTCGCTACCGCTACCGTTTCGCGTGGTTCTTATATCCTATTCGTAAACGTGTATTCGAGTTTTTTTTCACACGTTTCCGTAAAGAGAGTTCTTACGCTGCAAACATCGCATAAACACGAGAAAAAAGTGGCCAAACTTATAAGTAACAATAATCACGACGATACACTTATATTATTATATATAACTTATATTCGATTACATTATTAAACTAAATTATATTATATGTAATAGCTAGGGCCCGGATGTTAATGAATTTTGCATCTTATTTTGAAACATCAAAAACGATGATTTTCTAGCTTAAAATGTGTTTCAATAGTATACGAATCCAAATAACCAATTTTTATTTTTTATTTTTTTGCATTTTTAGATTATTTAATTTTTTTTTTGTTTTTAGGTCATTTTTATAATTTTTTAGGTCAATTATATAAGTTTTAGGACATTTTCACTATTTTTTTTTTATCAACTGAATGAAATTAAAATGCAAAAACTCAACTCATCAACATTTTCAGGTATGAATATCGTCTGAAAAGCGTTAATGAAACCTACACTTATTACAAAAAATACTTAAAACTGATTTTTTAAATTATATTTTAGAAGATAAAAACTAATTTCAATACATTTTCACGTAAATCAAAGATGCACCAATATAAATTATAATTATTGATTTGAATTTAAAATAAAAGCATTTTTATTTTAACAATTTTATAAGCGTTTTCCAGTATTTTTCATATCATACTGACATACTGTAATGTATTATAGCATTTTTATAAGTTTCTTAGGGTATCGATATCCGGGTCCTAGTAAAAACATAATTTTATTATCTACGGTTTATCTGTGTATTATAATCACTGCATTGTTTCAAAAAAAAAAAAAAAAATTTAAAAAAATATGATACCTTTATCTGATAATCTAACATTTTAAATTGCGAATTTTCATTGAAGCTTCCAGGTTATGGTCATCGTGTAACTACTCCTTACTATGTAATATATTTTGTTCACGACGGTTGTACGATGTTTAAGATCTTTGTTAAAATTATTTTGAATAATTCTCATTCAGATATTAAAAATAAATACCGCTGTAATTCATGCCGTTTCTTGTCAACTTCGTTCTTTAAAAAAAAAAAATCAATTATTTATTGTTTATATTTCAACTAACGCGCATAGCTCAAGTCTCAACATTTTTGTTTATGTATACGCTCTTGCAGTAAACGCATTCGGAACGTGGCCGTACGCCGATCTTTTCATATCTGAGTTCCATATTTTATCACTGTTTTAACATGCACAACAGTTGATAACCACAATACATGTTATTCGGCCGACGAAAAATAATTATGTTTATCAATTATCAATAAATACTGCATTATTATAATATCAATATTGTTATTGATATTTTACGTGACGACGGCGATTTCGATAGGCAAACTAAAGGCACGCTAAATGGGCACATTCAAACGAGTGCAACAATGTCGCCTATGCGCGCGTACGTGAGGTCTGATGAATTTATGTACATAGTAAGTCTCCTCTTTGGCTTACGAACGTAAAACCGTGGCCGCCACCTGCTGCTCGTCGATATATTGGTTAAGTCATTAATGTTACGCCACAAATTAGCCTAATCATCGGCACCGCATTGTACGCGTACGTTGTCGGTTTTGGTAATGTTTAGTTAATCTGTCTTCCGTCTCCTCTCTCTCGGTCTCGAACGTGCGCGTGTACCCACACCGTGTGCGTCCCGTGTGCTTTTCGACGTAACATCTCCTATACATTTTCTTCTCTTACTTCTTCGACGGTGCATTCCACAATGACTGGGCGGTGATTTTCCACTGGATAACGCGTGACAATATAATAATGTTATAGGTATATATTGTCAACGTGTGCTGTACAGGCGATGGTGGTCGCGGTGATGGTTCTTTTTTTGATCACCCTTGAACTTTATACCCCGGGGCCTCGGATCCACTCGAATCTGCATGAATATTATTATGTTTAACGTATATGACGCGACGTTTGGGAAAAAAAAAACTACGGTTTCTTTATTATTCTCGTACATTTGATCGTAGTTATTGATTTGAACACCGACTGTACATTATAATAATATGCTGTCGAAGAGTTAAATACAATTATATGGACTAAAAATAAAACGCACATACACCTATATTCGATTTTTTAAAGGGAGGTCATCGATATACATTGTACTATTAACTCTCGTGGTTGGTATATTTTGACGAAATTGATATTATTTCTATGAACACGAAGAGATTAAACGCTTAATGTCAATTCAGAATGAAAAATAATGCTATGCAAATAATTTGACGAGAATAAAATTTCGTTGTAATTGTGAATTTTTACATTGTATACAATAAATAATTATGTACACAAATTATTTTTAACATTTTTAACTAATTTGATGTCATTGCAAAACAACAGTTTTGAAAATATATACTTTTATAATTTTTATTGTTATCGTTCAAGTGCTTACTTTTTTGAATGACAATACTCATACAGTATACACTTTTAATTTTATATTTCAAAGAAGAATATTTTTCGTACAATTCGTTGATACATAACAATCAAATCTGAAACAAAAATTTAATTAGATATAACTTTAAAGTTTAAATACTTTTTGAGTTTAAAAATGTAATGATTTTTTTGTTTCAAAAATGGCTTTCAATAACACTTAAATAGATTACCATTTACACTGTTAGTTGCGTAGTACGCTACGATAAGGTCCTATAGAAAATACGACAGTGTTTTCGTTAACTTCAAGTAATACACGTCACAATTTCTATTTTTATTTCAAATTAAATTAGAAACTATTTGTAGCATCTGTGTATTACATACGAGTATTTACACTAAAAACGTACGCATAATATTTAACAGTCATTCTAATCGTTACATAAATAATGCGGAGATTATACAAGAACCTAATGTAATCTCCACTAGTTTGTGAGGTAAAAATTTGAATGGCCGTGTAAAACTAAAATGTGATATTACTTATAATTTATTACTATTATCATCATCATTATTATTATTATTTTATCTTTACGTTCACGTGTGAGGTGCGTCCGTGCTCAAAGTATATATAGGTATGTATACCTACTCAATGGCTAACAGCAGTGTTATGTGGTTATATTGTGTTGCCATCGTCGTCGACAACGAACGGCGACGAAGTGTCAAGTACTTCGTGACAAAGAGAATTTAACGTGTCATTTAGGACGTATGTAATTGTTTGGATTTTCACCGGCAGGTACAATTGTCGCCCGTTCTCGCGGGCATGTGTGTGTTTTTTTTTTTTTTTTACTTCTAATCGGTCTTCGTATGCGTATACGTATGTGCGTATATGCATATAAATAAAAAAAGAAAAACGAGAAAATAAATAGACTTAATGATATTTTGGGAGGGGACGAATGAGTAGAGGGGATAAATGCTTCTATAAGACGCGTGCCCGTGTAAACGTATCCATCGTTTACGACAACGATTATTATTGGACAGACACATTCCCGCAACCGGATATGGAATGCGCTCTATTATTTTTATTCTACGATATTGAATATCGCCGCGATGATTACAATATTATGTAGGTATATTTCATATGTACAGCACTAAGATATATAGTATTATATCGTATACTGTTGTGATTAGTATACGCCCGCGCACCTGTCCATATAAATATGATATTATATACAGTGTATATAGTAGAGTAATCTCAGCAATCTGAAAACGGCGGGTTTCTCTTTTTCTTCGTTGAATCTTAACAAATAATACTTTCTGACATAACAAAGAAACAATAATATCATCAAGTACAATGTTAAATATAGTAATATAATGTTTTTTTATAAAATAGCATTTATTTACCATATGATAAACTGATATGTGTAAATTAATATTTTATGCATAATGGTTGTAAATTATGTTGGAATTAACGCTATATTTTTTCTGTTTCCGACTAAAACACAATGAAACGAATCTATTTTTAAAACGTTATGTAAACATTAAATTTTCTAGTCAATGTCGAACATCAAACATGTTTTACGTGAAATTAAAATTCACTTGATATAAAACAATGATTAAATTTAAGTTATACCGTTCAATATAACAAATATATAATTAATTAAATATTATATATATCCTTTTTCCCAAAGACTGGTTTAATTATGAATTGAATAAATAATTTTTATATTTAATTAGACATTTTAAAGTTGATAGTGAGTATGTGTGTGCTTATATTAATATAAATGATTCAACTTAAGCAGCTTATGTAAAATGCTTACAATATGTCATAAGAAATCACATGTTAATAAATTTTACTGTCCTTATATTATAACTATAAGTACTTAATTAAAATCCTAATTGCTAACAGAAATCGTGGCCAAACTGTTTATGGTTTATAACTTATATGGTTTTATGCTGTTTTAATTTTTTGAGAACAATCATAAAGATAGGTCTTCAAGTTTCATTAAAACTTATCTTAACATTTTGATTACAGATTATACTATAAAAGGTTACTTTTTGAATTTCCCAATAGTTTTGATAAAAATAATAAACTGTGAAGTAATATAAACATTTTTGAATGAAAATGGATCTTATAATTTTATGATTAATGTTAAATTAGAAATAATTATGTATTATTAAATACACATAAACACATAAACAGTATCTTTTGAATATCTATGTATCTACAGAGTGCTTGATTTGTTATGTTATAAACTTATAAATTAGTGTTGTGCTCTTAAATCAATATGAACCCTTGAAAACCATTTTAAAGTTAGAACAACAGAAACCTGTACAGTTTTTATTATTGAAATTACATAAAATATATGTTTTTGTACACATTTTTGCTGTTAATTAAATTTTCTTAGAATAATGAAAAATTTTATAATATCCTATATTAAAACTACATAAGTATGTATATTAATATTATTTCTAAAAAATAATGTATTGGTTTCATCTTTTTTACAAATAGATTTATATTTTTTATTTTATTATTAAATAACTATAGTTATATTTCTATATTCCATACTTACTTATGAAATTATTGGATAATTCTAACATACAATAATTATTTAACATTTACTGTATTCTTCTTTTGCTTATTGTTCTTTCAAATTTATTATTTTTGTCCTTAAACATTTTGATACTCTATTAACATTATAATACAACTTTTTATTTTAAATATTTATTTTAGACATGCTAATACAATACATTGTATATGTTGACCTATTTTCTAGTTCTGTACGGTGTTACTTTTAACGGTTTTGCTATTTTTATTTTTTTATAATAATTTCAAAATAAGTTATAATAACATACAGGGTATCCCAATTCCCAGTGGCGCCGAACCTATACATAAATTAAAGCGATCGCTTCATATAATAAAGAGGATAGGTGGTTTTATTTATATATGTATTTTTTTTTTACATTACATAATACCTATAATAAATAATTAAATAAATAACTAAAAGATCAAATGAAAAGCAATATGTTAAAATCCTCAGTGGCAGGCGAGTGTGTAAATATTTTGATTTTGCTTCACTTAAATTTATAAGACTCGGCGCTGTCGGCACTAACCGTGTTTGCTATCAATTATCATTAATGATTTTTCTTGATTCGTAGTTTTCAAATCATTCCTCTTTAAAGGTATTTTTAATTTAATTATATAAATGAGAAAATTTTAGTTTAGTTTTTAATTTTTACTTAGTTTTAAATTATGTTTAAATATCATTTATGAAAATCTAAAATGCTCAAACGTACAAATATACTACAAATACTTTCTCAAAAACGCTACTACATTTTAATATATAATAATAGTATTGTGTCCGATTGTGCTTAGTATTTGAACAGTATAAAAATAGGTCATCGATTGAATGTGTCAAACTCAAAATCGTAGGTACCTATACAAGCGCAGTTTTTGAAAACTAAAATTCGACACGGCCTACTATAATATTTAATACAATTACGACGTATATTAGATGTCAACAAATTCGGTGCTCCGCAAAATATCGCCCAAATATAAAAAACGACGACGATACGGTCTGCACTTTGCAGGTATCGATTACATACATTTGTCGATAACACGAGCTTGTTAATCTATTGTTTATTATATTCATAAGTTATGGTTTATGCATATAGTATCTAATATCCTTAACACACAACACTTACAAACAAAACAAAGTTATTAAAAAATAACCGTGCGCGCGCGCCGAAGTCGTTGCGATTGAGTCATCACAAAATACGGTTGTGTCGTCGTCGTTATTTTTGTAGGTGTATAATATAAAATATAATATATGTATTTTTAGTGCGGACTGCGGAAGTGGCCCCATCATTGATTTCCTGTCATATTGATGAATGAAGAGTGAATAGATGATTTTGCGAGTGCCTCAAACACTGAAACACATCGCGCATTGACAATTAGTGTTGCGCTGCTGTCGTCGTTTAATATATAACTAATATTGTTCGTGCACATAGTGTATATATATATATATATATATATATATATATATATATATATATACAGTATACACACAGCAATATTAATGTGAATACTGTCGAACGGTGGTTAACTTATGTATTATTTTATATTAATCGCAGTAATTCTTCTCGTTTTTTTTTCTGCAGCACACACGCGTAACGGTACATTTGTATTGTATTTGGTAGATACTTTGGTAGGTACCTACGTACAATAAGGTTATCGTAATCATAATGCAACGGAATTATTTAACAAACAATGGTACGTCATGAATTTTAAAACATCATAATATATCGTATTTGTATTTTGTACATACGAATTATATCGTTAGTACACTGCAAGAAACGGCCGAAGTCGAAAAAAATTCGATAAATTTATAAACGAGTTTCGATCATTGAAAAAAAAAAATCTCTGCGCAGAGTATACAAACTATTTGATGTCCTACCGCGAGACAATATATTATAGAAGGTGTAATTATATCATTTACATCGTTATAATTTTTCTTCGTTCTAACTCACGGAAATCGGCATTATTACAGTCGATCAGTGGGTATATTATAATAATATCACTCTTCACTGACTGAATTTTTACAGGAAAAAAATTATACATAATAATAATATATTATTATTATTATTATTATATAGGTACGTGCAATTCTACGTAACTTACGTAACTTTATGTTCCCTCGCGTATTACCAATCGTTTTATGATGACAAGCGCACACACACTTCGCCATAATAATAAATATTGAACGTGTATGCTCGACGAATAATATTCTTTAAACGGCGTTTTATTTACATTGCTCGGTCGACCGCAATATACATTAAATCTCATAAAATATTCAATGGGTTCTCGTTTGCCCATAATATATAAATGATACATATATGTACAATATATATTATAATACGCTATTGTTGATGGGTTGTGATTTGAATGATTAGACGGATCATATAATATATATAGATGCATATTATAATATAGTGAAATATACCTATACAGATTATATAGCGGTGTGTGGCGTCTGAAATGTGTTTTTATTGCCAATTATTACAGTTAGCAGATGTACATATATCGTACATGTAAATATTATGACTACGAGGAAGGTAGTTTTTATTTTATCACGACTTTATCTAGGGAGTATTACCTTGGTGAATACGTTACAGTTTTTTTTTCTTTACCGAAATCGTTTTTAGATTATTCTCGTCGATTCTTTTTATTGTGTAATTGTGTATGCCGCTTTTTAATTATAGGTACATCATAATATGACTGTACAAGAGCACGACTTATACGATGGCAGTAAAATGAAACCGAGAAAACTTATGTCGTCCATTTGTGACCGCAGATCATAATCAACTCGATTCGTCGTGCAAATCGACAAAACTGGCAAATTGGCGGTGGTGGTGATTGACATCCCTTAACACCTTGACGCTTAATTTGTTCGATTATTTCGATATAGGCCTATGTATGAAAAAAATTCAAATGTTTAACGATTATTTAGTTACAATAGTGGACAGACGACATTTCACAGGTTTTAATGTTCATTGTAATTAAATTTAAATAACAATAAACTATTGTCACGATTAATTATTACGTGAAAATGATTAATTATGTTTAAGTAATCTTAGGTAAAACCCGTGATTTTTTTTCCAATTAAACTCTTACCTACTTGACTTTAGTAAAGTATGCTCGATATATTATATCAGATGTGTTTGTTAAATTCTAAATTTTCAATGTTGAGTAGATAATTTAAAACTGTTTATATTTTAACGTGGTCAATAGTGGAGTACGCTGAATCCCCTTTAGCCGCTCTGTATACGATATTGAAAAACAATAACATCATTGTTATATCAGCATGCGCTTAAATTCGTAATTATAATATAAATTTGACTTGTCGTCACGTACGCGTGTTATTGCATCGATAAAGCCGTAACATTACAGACGCATAGTATAATTTTCTATATATAGGAATGTCACTCACTGCTTCTGAGTATTTGTATGAATATTGTATGCTCTGCTTAATAAATTAATAACGTAGTTGTTCATCCACATATATTACTAATAATAAGACGTACTTTCTGTATAACTCGACTTCGTCCGAACTTTAATGTGATTAATCGGAAACAATGATCGAGATTATAATTCTGCCAAATCTATATATTCGAATAATTGAATGATATTGCCCAAAGATTGGGAGTTCTAAGATTTAAAAAATTAGTACCTAACCTAAATATTAACATGCAAACCACCCCAGGAATCCCGAGTATAAAAGCTTTCTTTAGCTATTAGTTTGAAGTCACAAATTTTTATTTTTATTTTACAAATTATCTATGGATACTAATTTTAACTATAGTAACTTGAATTGCGCGCGTATAGACAATAACGATTTCGAATTGACAAACGAATTGGAAATAAAGATTATGACGTTTTCGTCTGACCAATGGCTTATATAATTTATATATTGAGAAATTGATCACTTTATCGAAATTCTCAAAATGCGATTAAATTTATTGTGACGTTAAATGCGAAATATATATATATATATAATCTATGTAATAGCAAATTTTCGTTTAGAATTTATGGAATTTATATTTTTTTCGCCATTGTTGTAGGGATTTTCAGATTGACGTCGAGCAACGCAGAATTAGTGTACTCAAACCTAGCAGCCATGGTTAATTCGTCCGGCGCTTCCGGTCCACAACAACAGGCGGCCGTCCTGTTCCGGTTGGGGCAGTTAGGCCGACAGCTTCAGGCGTCCGGACAACAGCCGTTCATACTGCCCATGCCGAATCCGCCAGCGGCTCACCAGACGCCCGCCGATCTCAGCAGCAAGTCGTCGCGGAATAAATCAGAACTCTGAAATCCTTACAGGCGGCCGGCGTCTATGTAACTTCCAAAGTACATGACATTATAATAATATGTACCTGAATATACATGTGCACGCCCGCGATAGCGTCTTACAAAATATTTATATGTTTATTATTATTATTGTTGCGATATGTTATATAGATTTTTTTCACACACTTTTTCGTCTTTGATCCTTTTTGTGTATGTTAATCTTTGTGTTATTTACATCTTTATATCGCCTCTTCTAGTTGTATTTGTACTATGTGCATAAATTTTTCTTCTCGGTTTCCGGTTCGTCTACAGACGTACAGTAAAGTTGTCGCCGTGGGGCTTTAAATATCTGCCCCAAATGCATCTGGAACAGTTAAGTAAAAATAAAGTGAAGATATAATAACAATCACATTCAGAGCTCAGATTGTATAAAGATATATACACATAATACACATACCTTTTTACAGAGGATATGAAAATTGTTTTCCAAAAGAACCCTCTTAAGCATGATTTAGTTTTTATAACGAAATCCACGTTTTTTTTTTTTTAATCATAACGACCTTTCCTGGTCAGCGTAAGCACAGTTTTAAGTGGACGATTTACAGCATTCTATACATTAATCATTTATGTATACCTTTAGTATTTTATTTTATGTTTTTATTTGATTTTAAATTTAACAACACATAATAATAATATAAAAAAATGTCTTCGATCAAAATTCGTACGATAACATTTTTTATATACACAAATTAATTAAAAAAATAAAAATTATACAACGTTTTATAAAATATACAATATTTCAAGATTATAAATACCAAACAACAGCATTATTATGTACAGTTGTACACTGAATAAACACTATGAAAACTGCATGTAATTGTGTATGTGCGTTAAATTTAAAGTTGTCGTTCAGAATTGATCGTTCTTTCCAGTTGTTTCTTGACCCCTGATATGACGTCATTTCTCGCGATAAAATTTACCAATAATTTTTCACGTATGTATAGGTGATAATATTATTCGTGATATTATTCTAAAACAATCTTTTTTTCAAATTTTAGTTTTGCTTATTAAGATAAATCATACAATTTATTTAAATTAATTTATACGGATTACATATTATGTATTTAAAACTTCTTTTGATCCATTTCAATTTTATTTGTAATTTTCTATACAATATATACCTAGTTTAGCAATTCTAAAATTATTTTGTAAAATATTTCCACCATTTCTATGTTTTAAAACGAAATTACCGTAATTTCAGTACAATTAAATATCAATAATAAAAACCAAAATATTTTTTTAAATTTATCATTATAATTTCGTTAGATGTGCATTGCAAATAGACTATAATACTATAATTTACTTAAATCATGATCAATTATAAACAACGAAACAGTAACAGCATAACGTAATTCCTGGAGTTAAATTGGATCAATTTTACCTTATAAAAAATTCTACGTCTTAACATCAATCCAGTGTCTGACTAAAATTACGTAGTTATCTATATATTATAAATCTATATTGATTTTTAACCACTTGGAAAAAAATATAATATTCCATACTTAAACTGACACTTATAAGTTGTTCCTTTTTATCTACCTCTTCCACCAGCCTTTATTCGTTAAATTTTTTAATTATAAAAACTATATCAATGATTTATTAATTATAATATTATTATTATTTTTTTTTAACTTTCACAAAATCTCAATTGACCAAAGATATATATATTTTAAGTATTATAATATAATTATTATGTAAAACGTATATTTAAAGTAAAAATTTTCAATTGTTATAAAATGCTTTAGTATGTTACATACACTGTAAATATTGTTATTAATAATTATTAACCAAAATTTTAATAAAAATAACATCAAGTCGATTGTATAATACTTATGTATATTATAATTTACCATCATTTGAAAAAAAAAATCTGTATAATTTAAATTGACTTAAACTAATATTATTTCGAGTTTATTTTTCTTACAATAGATTTGTCCACCGACTGATTATTTTTGTATCTAATTAACAATAATTTTAACGATTTGAACCTGTATTAATAATATTGACTTTATTTTTTATTTAATGTTTTTATGACGCTACAATTTAGTGCATTTGTTCGATTTATTAAACACGCACTAAAATTCATCATTTGTTTTATAACTATCACAAGAACAAGTACTGAATTACCTAATTATTAATGTTCAGAAACATGCATGATATGTGAATCAATTTGTTAACCTTATTACACAAACAATTAAGAGGGAAAAATTTGTTTTTAAAATTTCCATAGACTTATGGTATAAAAAACAGAAAAATATCATAACTATTGCAGTTTTGCAATGCCGCATATTCATTTATATAGTGATTACAAAATAGAAAAAAAATGTAAATACATATTTACAAAATAATATTAATACATTACTGACATTTCAATATTTCATACATATTCATTTACTAAAGCGCATGTTTTATTTATCACACAATTTATCAAATGACATTTAAGTAAAAAATAGCCTATCCAGAACCTATTTTATTACCTATTTCGATAATTATATACTTATAGTTATAATAATATAATACTATAGATATTGGTTTTTAGGAGAATTGTAAAACTTACAGTGTCGCCAAAAAATATGTGGATTAGCTGCTTTAAAAGTTGCATCTGAAAAATGTAAAAGTGTGATTTTTATTTCACTTGTAACTCACATTAAAATTTAAAAATAATTAAAAAGAAATGAAAATAAATTTACACTTACATTTAATATTTTATCATTCTTGAATAAAAACGAATAGACTTATAAATAATTGTATATCTACAAAACACTGTTAAAGTATTACATTTGGCTGACATTTTTTTAAATTTAAAAAAAATTAATATTATTAATAAAATTATATCATTATACATTGGTATACCTATTTTTTTTATCAATAAAATCTTATTTTACAAGAATTTTCGTTATTTTTTTATTATCGCATTTATTTTTTCTGCCTCTACTTGCAGAGGACTAAGTTGTAAATGTATAAGTTAAATATTATTGTTTTAAGAATAATTATTAGTTTCAAGTTTTTCATATTATATATCTATTTGACCGCTAAATATATTTCGTCCTATAATTTTGATCTTTATAAAAACAAACCGTATCTGGAGACCCGCAATAACTGCCATAGAGACTTTGGGTGTCTATAATCATTTACCCAAATATGTATCAAATACTATAAATTCTATCCAATACTATTCCGACATCCATCGCTACGGCTGATCGTAATTTTTTGACGTTCATAAGATTCAAAACCTATTTAAGAAATTCGACTTCAGAATCTACTCTAGTGAGATTTACACTTTTATCGATTAATCGAAACATTGACGCAGATGATAAAATGTTAATAAACAAATTTTCCAACAGTGACAAAGAGATAAATTCAAATTTAATATTATTTGTCTCATTGTTATAATGCATCTAACAAAAACAGTTAAAATATAATATAATAAAAAATAATTTAAAAAAACATTCATAATTCTTGTATTTAATAGTTTGAGAAGTGGAAAATTTTGCTTGAAGAAAATATCTCTTTCCTCCCCTCAACACTCACAAAAAACATCTAAATACGTATTAAACGCACGGTTAAGTCTCAAATGAAAAATTATATAGTTCAACAATTATTACTACTGATGGAATTTACATGTTTTTCAGGTAATACGTTTTAAAATATATTAGTATACTTAAATAATTTAGACAAACAATCATAATATACTACCTATAATAACAACAAAAACACCGAGTATTGCAATATTAAAGCTTACTTCTTCTATATATATATTGACCGAACGCAGTAATTATTATAATATCGTTATTACCGTTACCAATATCTTGACAGATTATAATAATAAATCACCGTAAGTCGTAACACAAAATCAACGATACCACACAAATTTTTGTGCGACCGTATTATTATACATTTTTTATACGCGTAGAGTACACGCGATATTATAACCTGCAACAATCTAGTCTACTAATATTATTCTGTGGATTATAGCCTATAGGTAACGTATCTAAATAATAATTTATATATAAACAGATAAATTTGCATAGCTCATACATTTTACTGTCACGTATACCTACGTAATCGGAGACATGCCTTAATTTTTTGAAACCAGAACGATGTCAAGAATATTAACAGTCGGACAGCGAGTCAGAGACTAATAATAATATTGTAGCGTCCAATTGCTGCAGTTGACAGTCGTTGTAGTGACCTGAACTGCAAAAAGGCGTTTGGCGTATAAAAAAAAATTATGGATTCAAACGCCATTCGTAAATGCAAATCGTCGAACTATTGTATTAATTTTTTGACAAAAGGCTTTTAAACAATATTTCAATGTTGTGTGTATCACATTGTACATATGCATAAACTTTATTATTCGACGAAGCGCATACACTTAAACATATTATTAAGCATACATGAATATATATATATATCATATAATAGAAACATTAAAACGAATATTATTACAATATAATCGATAGACCTTCTAACATAATAATAAAATAACAACAATGAAGATAATAAATCGTTAATTAACTAATGTAGGTATAAATGTAATACAAATTACAATTGCATATTATGGTATTGATTTGGCAAATTTGACTAGGCTGTGATAGAAAAAGTTGGTAGACACGCAAGGATAAACCCTGTGAAACACTTTACTATATTCATAGTTTATCGTTAAAATCTACAGAGGAGGGGTGATTTTTATTCCACTTGATACGTGTTTGGAGTCACTGCGATGAAAATAACACGATGGTAAGTTACTACAATCATTTAATACTTAATAGTAGTGGTAAAGAATACACGAAAACATTATTTTTGTATTTTTGTACAAAACTGTAAACTGATAAATGTTAGCTAAGTGTTTGTTTTATTCTCAAAATTACACTTTTGAGGGAACTCACTTAAAAACTCTTTTTTCCTAACTTTTAAATAATCTAAATCTAAAAACATATTTATGTATACTGTGAATAAATTTACATGCGTATGTGTCTGGATTGTCTGGAAAATAACAAACATATGAATCGTGCTTGGGAATTATAATCATTATATACTTGACGCAATATCTAATGGAAAGTGTAAAAGGAAGCATATTTTATTAATTGCTGTAATTGTATTTGTACAGTTCACTGTATTCTTATAATAATATACAAAACGGAACCATTAAAAGTGTGTGAAAATTAAATAGGTAAACGAGGCTAAAATATACAATATCAGAATTAACAATTAATAATTATTATAAATATATATGTAAACAGAACAACAGTATCGTTTTTGTCTAATACACGATACAACAGTAAAATATTATGGACATATTTTATGGTATATAAATAATATTAAATAGGCGTAATAATTATTATTTTTTTAAGAATCGTCGCCCACGTCGTCCTTATCCTCCACCAACGCTTCGTCGACGTTCATCTTATTAGCGCTGTTGTATCGTGGCCGCATCAGCGTCTTGGCCGACTCTATCCTCTGGCTTAAGATCTGTAAGAAATACAGTAAAATTTCATTTTATGCAAAATTTATCATGAATTAAATTGATCAACCCGTACGTAAACGAAATTTCATCGTTTAAAAGTCTTAAAAATCGAATACATGTGGGGCAATATAATAGTGTTGTGCAGTGTTAAAACATACACTCCATACAAGCGTAATATATTATTATGTTTGTATAGTTATGTCTGATTTTGAAACCAATCGTGTTTATTTAAAAATTCTCTTTAATCGGTAGTTACGCCATATGGCATATATATATATATATATATATATATGTTATAAGATATTATTTGCAACCACATTGATAGGGTTGACGTATTATATAAATTATAAATATATTAAACGTACGAGTATACATAGTTAGATTTCGATATGTAATTATAATTTAATTCATAACTCGTACCATTGACTGATGAAATTGCGTCACCCGAAATACCCATACGCACTTATGTCTTATTATATCGCGTATTCCGCGCATGTCAACTAATTATTATCATTATGATTACAGTTAAAAGCTTTTGAAATGAAAATATGAATTCGTTAACTGTGAACGCATCATGCCCATTATTACTAATATCACATTAGAATATTATTATTGCGTTATTGTCGTAATAATTTAATATAATAATGTTATGTTGGTTGTTTGTTATATGGTAATAATTGTGTATACACAAGGCTGTAATGATCGATAAAATAGTGTTTTAAATAATTTTATAAAATACTAAGACCGCGTTATGTCTTAATTTTTTAATTCCAAACGAAATTTCCTGAAGACTTGGATACCATAAAAATACAGCACAACATATTTTTTAATTAGGAAATAACTCAAAATATATATTTGCTATTTTAAATTTTCTGGATAATTTCCCCAAGCGTAAAATAACGTTAAAATCATATAAAACATAGTTTTTTTTTTTTTTTAATCTAATTTTTTTTTTGAATCTGATAAATATATACTCGTATAACGAAGTATCTATAGAAGAGTAGTGGTACTCCGTAACATTTTAAATACTAAATAAATCATTCAAACTTAAAATTCTTTCAAATTATAATCAATTAATTACTAGTTCCAAATTCAATTTTTATAAATTTAAATTCTCAGAAAATCGGATTACCGTTTTATACATTAAATAGCCAGTTTAAACAGTTTAATGATGATAAGTAATATTTTAAGCGGGAACCGATTCGTAGACTTCATTTGATCCAGGAATTAAATTCTAAATCGCCCGTTTGTTATATAAAATGCAATATACTCTACAGTAACTACATTAAATTGATAATAAATATTATACACATGTTGTAAGGCACAACAAATTATTGTTATATAATATCTTTTGTTATTTTTTATTGGTAATATTTTATTTGCTCAATACAGGTCCTAATGCATTTTACAAGAACATAAAATATTTAGTCCGTAAAATTAACAGCCTTAACAAAAAAACTACAACCCCTTCCCTACAAAAATTTCTCACTCACTAGAATGTGGTGCTTTTTATTATTCGTTTTATTATTTATATGTCTCTCTATAATTATGTAATATGAAAAACGAGTGAATAAATAATAACGTGGCAACCGATTCTGGTTTCGAATTAATCGCAGCGAAAACTGTCTTTTTCCAACCACATATGGAAAATAAACGCATAATGTAGACCATTAAGTACATAATTTAATAAACTAATAATACCACCAACAATAATAATAATTAATTAGAAATATAAAAATTATTATTATTTTTATTTGAATATTATATTATAATCGTATGGGTGTCACCTGCTGTCGTCTATTTTCGGCGTCCGCTAGTTTCTCCAATAGCATTTCGTGAGTTAACGGTGGTGATTGTTGTCCCTCCAACATTCTCAGTCTCTTTGGCGGATGTTTTTTCACGACGCTTTCTTCTTCTTCGGTCAACGGAACGCTAAATGCTATAGCTGTATACACACATACACAAACACACGCATAAGTAGATTTAATGATTAAAAGTATATTAATAGGTAAGCAATATGGAAACGGACAAGTCCACTAAAATATACTATAACAATAATATCTCTGTTATTAATAATAATTAAAATATTTTAGGAATTGTTTTCGACAGCTATAGGTAATTAATGGGTAATTGATCCCATGAAAAATTTATACGAAAATGGTATTATTGTTATGTAAGTATATAACCATTGAACTACCAGCTGGTACTTTTAATAAATAAATAAAATTAAAGTGTTTATTCTACAATCGTGATGTGCGTATAACAAGGTCTGTTGCGAAGTCGATATAAATAAATAAGCATACTAGAAAATGATATTTTCAAGTGGATGTCAGCACATTATTTGTTTTCTCTTTCTGACCCAAGTGCAACGTAGCAAATTAGCATTAAGCAGAACAGATCTAACAGGTTTTAATTTTCTGAATTAAGAACAAATTGACCTGTTACTAAAACTAAAATGCAAGAATATTATTTAGGATATTTCTTAGGCTTTTATTAATATTTTAATTTCAAAACGAGTTATGATTGTTATAAAATTGTTATATTTACATAGTTATAACTCAATTTAAAAATTAAAAATCAGTACAAAAATAGCGTGTTAGAATCTTCGCGAAAGAAGCGAAATAAATTTATTATTTAAGAGTTTAAGACTATATCGTGTACATATAGAGTAGAGCAGATGTTAGAAATATTTATATTTTACAGTTATGTAAATAAATCAATAGTGAAAAATATCTAAACTTTAAACACGGACGATGGCGATAATTTATTATATTAAAATAAGCGATATCAAATGTGATGCACGAAAACAGTAATAAAATGTTCAGTACGATGTCTCTACATACACTATAAATAATGCTATTTAATATCATTCTTTGACGAATATAAAATGTAATTCTAACGTGATGGTATTTCCAATCTCATTTTGCTGAATTCCTCGTTCGGCATAGGCATTGGCATTGTCGAACCACCGCACCCCATTATAGTAAATATTTACGTTTATTCGTGTGCTTGTTTATCGAGAAAAACGGTGTTTAATAAAATGTTCTGTTTCGATATCCGTCAAGATATTATCCAACGACAGACCGTATGATATTATGTGGCCGTAGTAAAAAGAATAACAAAAAAAAAATAATAAATAAAAATATATTGCGCGATTAAACGTTGACGACGATTTTAAGCATATATAATCGAGTTTGGTGCTTTTCACGCGTTATACTAACTGCTGGCGGGCCCAAGTGTTCGAATATAAAGCTTACGAGCACGTGGTGTCGTGAAGGGAAGTCGGGACAGGCGCGGAGCCGCCAATACCCTTTGCTCAAAGGTTACGGCCAAAAACCGCGCAAACGCCCTCGGCTACGGTCATGTCATTTTCGTTTTTTTATTCGCCCACTATTTGTTTCATTCTCTATATAGCGAACGAGAACGTATGTCGACAACCCCCATCACAAGGACACATGACTGCGAGAGAACAATCGAATCTAGGTAAATTGAACTCTAAATCGTTAGGTTAATTTTGTTAACCGATAAATTCAATCCTAATTGATTGGTCGGCTAAACTGAGTCACAAATAATATCAATACCATACCTATTACATTTAAATTAAATTATTAATAATGGGAAATCCGTATAATGTGACCGCGTGTCAATAATGATGTTTGGTTGGTGTTCGTTGTCGTGAACTGTTTTATCTTGTGCGATTTAAGTAATGAGTAATGACAAACAAACGTAATTAACTAATTTTTTTAGCGATGGACTTTAAGTATAAATTACACTATTATTTAAAACTAAATTATTGAGATTATTTAATGTTTTATATTTTGAACAGAGCGATTATTTTACAATGATGTGTGTTTGTGGGTGTTTTCTGGTAGCATGTTGGATCTATAGTTAGTACTTGTGAAGTCAAAACTAGAAATGCTCAGCGTTTCTCATGAAATAGTTTTAAAGGTTCGTCAATAGTGTGTGGGGAGATGATTTTTTTTTCATTCGAATCTGGATCATTTTATTGTTTTGAAATAGACCTACAATAACCGATTTTTAAAATACCACTTAGAACTTCATCGGGGATGTTTAAAGGAGTAATAATATTATTAAGAATCGATACTACTGCAACTCTTTCACATACAGTACATTGAGTATGCACTTTATACAGTATACACACTCAATATACCTAATAATTATATACATTTATATTAAATGCAGAAATGCGCGATTATATGTGCAGATAGCTGTCATTCAATGTATGCAATATGTCAGTATACGCATTTAAACTTATTATTATAAATTATCTTAGCTAAGCAAGGACAGTGGTGAATCAAGTGTAGAGGCTTGAGGGAAGACTTTTCTTTTTTTTTTTTTAAGTACTGCTTACTGAAAATAATCCTAGTTAAAAAATTATAGGCACATAACATATAATGTACAGTAGGAATAGTTTATACTACACATGACTCGTGATATTAAAAACAAAACCAACAACTTTACATAGCAGGGTGTACCACTTTTACTCGACAATGTACTAAAAGCCGAATACTTTAATAACATCGACAACTCCGCATATCCTATATCATACATTCATACGTATATTTTTTTTAATTTATCACAATTAACAATTAATATAATGAAAAGCCATTATATTGAGATGTATTAAACTATATGGTCATTATAATAATGAATTGTCGATGGTCTGGGAGGAGCGGATAAGGGGCCCCTGAACCTCCCTTCCCACAGAAAACATACCACTGACCTGTATACGTTAACGCGGTTCGGATGTCTTAAGGGTTTTTTTTGGCAAACGTAACGTGTCTTGCGTGCATGACCATCACCATTGTCATTGTCGTCATTATTTTACACGTACGACAGCACACTGTCATGACTTCGGGTTTGATCTCGTGTGGTCCATACGGCAATGTCACAACTACTTACAAACAATGTGTATATATAAATATATGTGCGCGTATTATAGGCAAGTGCACGCGTTCTAGCCGCCGAAGGAGAGACGCACGATTTGCATCATAAGACCGCGCTGGTGTATAGCCGTATAGGTGTACACGAATTACATATATATTTCATATATTATGTTAAAACAAAATCCTTTTTTCGCTATTAATCTCTCGCTTTCTTCTCACGCGTGACGTAGGTACACACGCACACACGACTATGGCCGTCTGTGTCCTGTACGCCACGTATGCTTGTAGTGATATTATTTATAAACCTATATATATATAACTGTATTTTGTAAGACACGTATATGTACATATCATAGATGTAAAACGGCACTTTTGACACGGCGACGTTTTTGTTCGTACTGCGATGTATACCAACTCACAAGTTATATAAGTACATAATAACACACTTATATGTAATATATAAGTATACAAATAGTTTTCCCAGCTCCTCAGTGGCTAATCGTTTGTACGTGTATAACCCGTATACGTTGCATAATACCTAGACACATAATATATCGTGCACCCTCTTGAAAGATACCCATCGAAAATCGAAAAAAATTGTTTTTTGTGTTCTTTATCATGCTGGGATCGCACACAGTAAAATAGTACCTAAATAAACACCCAACTCTCCCATCACAGACGAAACTATCTAAATTATTTTTAAAAACATAAACACTGTTTTGTTTTATTTTTTGTTATGTCTTTGTGGATTCGACTTTGTGTTCTATTACGAATTCTGTATAATTTCTATGTATAATATAATATGTTATAAGCACAAGTAAATTGAAACAAGTTAAATAACTGATATTAATATTGTATACGTAAGTACCTACGTAGATAATATTATGTACTAGTATAAATTATATTAATTTTATTTGTGCCATATGAAAATAATATTGCGAATTGATTGATTCTTTGATAGATAATAATAATTAGTAAATCATACACACAAATTTGCATTTTTAACCGCTTAAATATAATCATTATTATAATGTCAAACATTCAAATGAATTTCAGACAGTTTAAAAAATGAACATTGACATGGAGTATAAAATAAAATACAATGAACCCGAAACTTTTAAAAGTTTTCATCCCTGCACACACCCCACTTTCCCCAATTAGGACGAGCTTACAATATATTTCGCCGAGAAACCTGAGTTTCTGATTGCAATGAGGACGAACTAGACGAAGACACCGTGAATTATATCATAGTCGCACTGTTGCAGGCTCGCGACAAAAATATAATTTATTCGACAACCGTATCGACCACGTCGATTGGTTTTCAGTTGGTATAGGGATACGAGTATTGTTTTATAACGAACTGCAATCTATTGTTGTATATATAGACACCAGTTAAATCGAATGGTATATACATTTGAAATTTTTTTTTGATTTTAATTATTATTCCAGCAGTAATTTATTAAGAATATAATATTAAAACATTGTAATGGGCCTCGCATGAAACTGAAGGTGTATTACCAATAATAATAATAGTATTAATTAAAACGCATATACGAAATTTTAAAACAATTATGACGCACGCACGTGAACACAAACCATTTATTATGTTATATTGACATATGATATTAGCAAGAAACTGTTTAAATCCTATTAATACGCTATACATAATGTAATAAATGCATGATACATCTAATCTTTATTTAGTCTACAACACCATATAATTATCCATCGATTGAAAAAAGTAATCGTTTTTTTTTCGATAACAACAATAATCGTTAATATTATATGTATATGTATATATAAATGATACTTACATATTTCCATTTCCGTATGATTCTCTATATGCTAATATGCCCAATAGTCATAAAACCACGTCGTATGCAATATTATTGAACGAATTAATCTATAAATTATAATCACACTGCTGCGTTTTATCAAAAATATTGCTTTAGTGAGTGTATAAAGAATTTGTATTTACGTAATTTGTATAGGTACATGAATTATATTCCATTAACTAGTAATATAAATTTTGGGCGAGGAAGGAAAGTTGGGTTATAATATGTACTTATGTATTTGCGATTTTGAGATTAAAAATAATTATAAAGTGTGGCGCGTATAAGAGGAACCTGGATTATATATCATTATTATACTATATACTATATAGTGCAACGCATCTGCTATAGCTGTAGTTGTGTGGGCGATCTATATATAAAAAAGATATTCGTAATCGCCGTAAGCCGTAGACACTAAAAACCTTAGGATGATATCAAGAGTATTGCAGCAGTTTCGGCGCTTTTGAAGAAATACCGCGCATATTGTTCTAGAATCTAGTTAATATGACTGTATTATAATACGTAATGGACAACTTCCGGTCGAAAACCATACACCAGTCTACGGCAAATATCGAAAGTAGTCAAAGTACGTTAAATATCATAAATCATAATGTATTATTGATCGACGGCTGTTCAAAAATCGCATTATTTAAAGGAATCGCGAGTATCGACATTTTTTCTCTCCATCTTTCACGGGTAATTCAACATATCAGTAAAAACCACCTATTTTGCGTCATTTTCCAACACAGTTGATGTAGGAAAACTATAAATATTATAAAAACAGATTTTAATTCATACTGAAGTATACCTGAGATTTTAATTGAGATCAATCACAATCAGGCCACTTATTTCGATTTAATTTTAGATATGTTTGAATAGTAGTAGGTATACATTTTAAATATTTTAAAATTTTCAAACAAAAGTTTTTAGAAATTAGGGAGTGAGCTTTAAAAGAATGACCTGATTGACTTAACATACAATTCATACTGGATTCAAATTTGTTTTTATATTATTTATCGATTAACTACTTCGATGAGAAGTTTTTATTTTTTACTATGTTACACGTGTGTAAGGCAGATAATGAATATCGGTATTCAGTAAAATGATTCTCTTGAAAATAAAATGAATACTACTCGCAATAGCCTACAACAAACCACAACATATATCGATACTTGTGACGATATGAAATTGGCCTATTGTGCGTTTTATAGGAGCTTCAAGGTTTTATACTTTAAAGTCTTATTATATAACTTTATAGTATAAAAAAATACAATTTAAAACCAATGTTTAAATTATTAGTTCCGGATTAAAACGACCGTAATCCACTAGGGTTAATATAAACTTACATACTGATAAGAATGAAAATACTCATTCATATAATAATAATAATACAGTAATTATATTGAAACCCTTGGAAAAGCATAATTTTTAAATATAAGTACTCTAAAAATGACTTCTAAAATTTATATAGCTTCAATTAAATATAAAATAAATCACTACAGGTTCATACATGTGTGTACCAGTACGAAAAGTTAGTTGAACGATATGCGTGCATACTGCAGCAAATCAATATATCATTATAATATTATTTTGACGAACACTTACAGTTATAAGTAGCTTTTACTATTATTTTTCTTACCACGCCACGCCACCGCCGATCCGTCCGCCACTAAAACTTTTTCCGAGACATGTGAATGTGGTGTGTGTCATAAATAATAATAGGTGCCGGGTAACACCATTGTATAATATTAAAATATTATATTATACGTGTGTGTGTGTCTGCGAACTGTACGCTATAAAGCCGTTCTTAAAGTATCCTTTTAACATTACAGGTCATTAAACTATGCAAGTAGTTGTACGCATCTAAGTGTAAAATTATTAAGTAAGCACTAGTCTTACACTAAATTTTGATAATTTTTTTTGATTTAAAAGTAAATTGTTTTATTTTTTACACAAATTTTGCACTGTATACAATAATATATGGAATAACTTTTATTTTTTATTTCCGATCATTCCTTTGTCTATTGCAGCGGCTGTTCCGTAGGCACATCACGCACTCCATCCGATGAAATCTATAAAAAAAAATTTATAAAATTTATGAGACACACAAGCTTAAATGTCACTAACATCTTCCCTAGTAGTTCCCGTGATATCTATACATAATTATGTATAACAATGCGTTCAGTATAGGCCATATATACTACACACTAAATAATTTATTATGTCAAATGTCAACAGAACGTCACGATCACATCGTGAAACATATTGTTTTAAAATCAGTAAACGAAATTAAAAATTTGATTTTACTTACAACAAAAATGAATATTTTAATACCCACTTAAAATTGCGTGCACGTGTAATTGTTTTCAAAAGACTTTTATACCTAATCAGTAACCATTTATATAACTGAAATGAGTTAATCATTAAAAAATGCATTTATTATCAACATTCTCGATAAATGTACTTATTACCTACAAAGTTACACACAATTCATAAAATAAAAATTCCACAAGTTATGTACGTTTTGATTAAAATATCTGTAGGGTAAAATATGCAAGCAATTATAAAAACATATTATATAATATATAATAAACAGATACTGTATGATAGTAAATAGTAAATACCTACAACTAACGCATGTACAATGACTGTTTGAAATTTTGAAATAAGAGGTATTAAGAAATAATTAGCGCGTTGCCGCCTACAATGACACGCATATTTTCTTGTGTTATTATTTCAGTGGAATGGTCTAATTAATCACGAATAAAATCCCGTTAATGGCCTTTGACGGAAGAAAAAAAATCGACTCATCGTATAAAATATTATACGACAAAGGTATGACATATGTTATTATTATAACAATCGTTATAACTTATAATGCATTAAATATATTTGCTTGACCATTGCCACACGTGTTTATTTAAACTAGTGTACTAATTTATACGAAAAATTCAATAACTTTGTAACGTAGGATTATAGTAATTTCACTTAGCTGCTGCATTAACGTGATTTCGCGATTTTTCAACTAAATGCAAATAATAATAATTAAATAATAAATATAATAATATTATATTCAATTAGATAATCTAACCGAAACAGATTGATTATCTCGCAATAGTAGATACACACGCTTTTATGTAAATAGATATCTACGCAAATACTAAAAAAATTAATAGTTTTAAGCACCAAAGACATAGAAAAAGTGTAGATTCGTTAATCTACCTAATACAAATAATTTTGAACTATATTATACTCAATTATCACGTTATACCCTAATAAAAGAATTATGTGATTTAAAACTGTTGCGTCAGTCGGTAATATATGCATTGTTCATTCCTATGATTATTTGCATTATTTAGATTAATTTTCAAAAGCAAATTTTTGTATATAATATAATGCCAACTTTTAACGCAAAAGTGTAGCTTACGTATATCGAACAGTAGCTGTTTAATGCATAAAAATATACCACTCCATAGATTAATACAAATCACTAATAGTATAATATAATATAAATTATTATTATACATATAATAAATTATAAATAAACTATATAGATAATATGCTTACAGTAAATCGAGCAGCGGAACGACCGTGTTCGACACTTTTCTTCAGCAGTGCAATGTACTCATTAGATTGATTGGGAATTTTACTCAGCAGAAGTCTATATTGAACGCGATGACCAAATGATTCACCTAACGCCGGAAAAACATCTGCGCCATTTTCGGTGACCGCGGTCGTCAAATCGTTAGTTAGTACCACCTGTAATTTTATACAAAATGTGACTCCAATACATAGGTACACAGCTATTAGTTAATGAGATATACCAATGCATATTATGTAAAAAAAAAAGTTAATATCAAGCAAATAAGGTTGTTAGATTAGCAATGTTACATTTTTACTGCAACATAAATTCTTTATTTTAAAAACTACCTTTAATTTGAATTTTACCTGTTTATAATTTTTTTATTGTAAAATTTGAAATTCCAAATGTTTTATACAAATTGAAAGTTCATGATAATAAGTTATAATTTGATAATGTTTAAATTGGAATTTTAAAATCCAAAGTATAGTTAGTGACTGACAACAAAAACGCATATTAGGTGTAAATATAAATGCAATACAAAACATTATAATAATTGCATATTTACATATTGTATCTTCAAATTCTCAAAAAGAAATATTTAAAAAAAAAAAAAAATAACAAAAAATGTTATGCTTTTTAAAATGATCATTGACTGTCAAAATAATTACCTTTCTGTAACTAGGCCAAATATATAAATAAAAGTTCAATTAGACGTGAAATAATCATTTTTTTTTTTTTTTTTTTTATTATCAAATAAATACTTTATCCGAGTCTCTATTAAATGGATGTTATACTTTTTATACATTAAGGTACCACCAAAATACAGTTACAAAAAATAGACAAACGAATACTAAACCTCACATAATTAACATGTATTAAGTTTTAAATGCGTTCTTCGCGTGTGTTCTTTTTTGTTTAAGTCAATCAAATTGCTTTATTTTTCATTAATTGTTCGATATTTATTCAAATATACAGTGCGTGGATTACTTATTATTTTTTACAACAAAACTATCTGATAATTATTACGGTCCGAGTTGAACTAAATTCGTAAATGTAATACAACGGACGTAGGCCGGGCCGCGACCATTTTATAGTAATATGATATATACACCAGTATTGCAATCTCGACCTGACCATTTACTTTGTACAGTACTATATACAGTGCATTAAATAAAACTGTTCGATTAAGTTACACATTAGTCTGCGAAAACAATTGACCCTGATACATGCTGACTATATTACATATCGTAAATTCGTAATGATAACCTTCAAAAATTTTTTAGCAAGCACACCTTAAAATGCGCAGGCCTAGTTTAACCGATAATGCGATAGTCTATACGTCATAATATGCTTTATCGTTCTTTTATTTATTTTCGTACATACATATACCCAATAGAAAGTCTATTGTGTGGCAAAAAACTAACTATACAGCATACGTACAGTGTATATGTATGGTCATAAAACACGGTTATAAACGCGTTCTGATTAAAAACGAAATAACGATTATTTTATATGCCTAATTATGTACGATTGTCACTTACAGCCAGATCGTGTTCGCAAGCGATAGTTTGCAATAGATCGAGAGCGCTGTGGACTAACGTATTCTTTCTCAGCGAATTTTCCACCTGGTACAGCGGCATGACGAAACTGTCCACCACGATTAATTTCACCTGTAATAATAACCGTTAGAGAGATAATAATAAACGTCAATGAACGCGTTATTACGATAACAATCGTATATTGTATACAAAAAAAAAAAAATTATCGATTATTATAATAATATAATATATTGTATTATATAATTTATAATGCATTATAATACTAATATGCCTTGTGTATATACGTTTGGATGACGTTCGAGAGTCGTATACAAAGCGTACAGCTGGTTTAGGTCATTCATTTGAACCCTGTGTATTTTACTCAGCATGCTAGCGGTGGTCAGACTCTTTAGCAACTCGCTATTGGCTGCTCCTTTGAAATCAATGGGTTCCGATAATACTTTAGACACATGGCCGAGGAAAGCGTCGATCATTTCTGAAAACGAACATAACGAGCCACTTGATATCATCATCGTCATGTTTATATACTAATAACGCTGTAACGACAAAAATGTGCTGCAGTGAAATTACAACAATAAAATGTACACAAATCGCCAAATGTAATATTTATGCGTTATATATAAAAACAATTATGATAATACTATAGCGCTGGGATATAAAATTTGAATAATTTTATTAGATCAAAAAATAATAAAATAATTTAAAATTACATGAGATGAGTAAATAAATCTTGACTAAAATACATAATAAATTATGATGTTGTTATTGTTCTTTATATTTACATATTAAATGGGTATATAACATATTTTTGTTTTACATTCAAATACTAAGTAGACACGCCTACCTGTTAACCGGAGTTCGGAAAAATTTGAATTGGTATCGACATAAATTGCTTCGGCTTGTAGTCCTTCAAAACATACTGGTATTTGAACGGATACGCAGAGTTGCATGCTGAAAAGTTATTGGAGAAATATAGTTTAAGATTATATTTAGTGACATAAAATAGAAATATTATAAACGTTTACCTTAACTGACTTTTACCCGAGCCTGGAGCTCCAGACAATTCTGTTATCTGTCCAACTTGAACACCGCCACTTAAAAGTTCGTCAATAGACTTACAAAATGTAGCAATACTATCACGTCCAATATCCTGCAGTAACAGAAGATGAAATATGTACAAAATGTATGAGTTTTTTCCGTCATAACTATAATAAACAACTTTTTCGACATTTATGTACGTTAGCCTTATAATGATAAAAATAAATATTATATGTAATTATTATAATCCTACGAGCATACATCAAAGTCACAGCAAATTAGCCTAATCATTAGGATTAAGATTTAGATGTAATAAAAAATGGTCAAATATGCATTTGGCTTATTAAAAATATACAAAAATAAAAGAAAAAAATATATGACTTTTGGTACAAACACTTGATCACAAATACTAAATAATAATGCTTTTTTCGGTCTTAAAAACTGTATAAAAAAATGCTTCAACATATACAGTCTAAGATTTGGATTCATAAACAATATGCAACACAACACACAAAATACTTTGGCGATTATGTCATAAGTCAAAATACATACTAATTTTACTGTAGGTAATGTAGTTGTAGAATAATCTTAAATATTAAATCTAATCTTCTATTAGAGTTGTATGAGTAAAGTATAATGATGAAAATAAGATAAAAATTAAATCATAAACTCTACTATAGAATCCATAGTAAATTAAACACTAAGATATTTTTTGGCTAAATATAATATTTTATTTTCTTCTCTTGCCATCCATTACTGCTTAAAACATAAACATACCACAAAACATGAATACATATTTATACTTTTATAGTTTTAATATAAAATAATATATATTTTACTTAAATTATGCTAAATAAAATAACCAATGTGGTAATAATCAATGTGTTGTGATTTTTGGACATTATAAACAAAAACAGTAATCAGAAATAGCAGTAAAAAAAAACATATCAATGTGTAAAAATCCTAGCCACATTATTCTTCTACTTAAAAACAATAAACATATATTTTACTGTATTATATACTAAGTTAGATTAACTTATGATGCGATGATAAAGTGGTTCTATTTACAAAGGTTAATAGATATTGAATATATTGTTGTACATGAGTTTCTTATTCTATGAAGTAATTTATTGTTTCCATTTATGTTTCATCTTTTTGAGTAATATTATACGTTACTATTTCATTAAAGAGTGATTTTACTTTTTACAGATTTCAAAATTTTAAAAATAAATAAATTATTTCAGAGAATTTTAAGTATTTTCAAATCAGCAAAAAATTTAAGCTATATTTATATATATATATATATATTATTGGTGCAATGGTATGTACTCCATATTATACATTAAATATGTACGAGTAACGAGTTAACAAACCTTTAATTTTCCTATACTTTTATGAAAAATATTGTTATTTTTATATTTTTATGAATTTAAAGTATATGATTTAAGTGTATTTTAGGATATTAAATACATTTTATAGGGTTTTATAATTGGTTTTAATTATATGTTATCAAATAAATCATGAATTCCACTTACTAATTCTGCAGCAGTCTTGTATTTGGGAGTTTTTAACATATCACGAATTTCAGATTCTGATTCCATATGTTTTCGTAAGAGTTTTGATTTCTTTTCAGGATCGTCTAAAATATATCATGCTACAATCTTATTACATAATATAGAAACTGTACACAATCAAATCAAATTGACTTATAATAATCGTATTAACAATTGTTTTCTCAATCAGACATGTATAAAAATTACAATAAAAGAAAAAAAGAAAAATTACCAAGCGAATCAATCAAATCTTCACAACACTTATATCCAAGTTTGTCTAGTTTATTTATCGTGTGCTTGCTTAAAGGTAATGTCCAAATAGGCCGGTTCATGGTTATACTGTTCTGTTTAAAATAATTAGATTAATTTTTAATCACGATAAAAAAAAAAAAATCAACAATGGTATACAAGTATACGCATGCAGCTCAATTGCATACGCACACTGTCGTTATAATAGATACGCATTTATAATTTAATCTTATTTCTTAAATATTACGCGAAGCAAATATGATGATTGCAAATATTTGTTACATTTTAATATGTACATATGGGTCAAAGACGAATTCATTAGGATATTTTTTTTCAATTTAATTACTTACACAGAATCTTCCGGTGGTCAAAATCGCATATATAAAGCCCACCCACCATAGTTTGTAATTACCATAACAGTTTTGATATTCAAAAAGTTCACAGCTATTATACACAATATATCAACAGCTATCCAGCTATGATTGTAACTATTGTTTTAACGAGTTTGATGTTGACATACGATGTGGTTTATGGAAATTATCATCATAACAGAAACACTACGCTTCACAAATATGGGTAAGTCATTTATAATACACTGCACACTGACCAATAATCGTTATCTTTATTTGTTATGGTTCTTAAACAATGATACATAAAATCGTCGATTAACTTTGAATTTAAACACAATCGGAAATATAAATGACATATTTTATGAAGGAAAAAAATAAAACGTAGTCAGCTGCATGTTAATGAGTTACTCTAATATTGTATTCGCCAAAGTTCGTATAAAAAAAACAATCATTCACCCGTTTTAATAGAATTATTTAGAAAACACGACGAAAAATTTTTACGAAACGTTTTTTTTTTCTACCATAAAATAGAAACATTAGACATTACAAACGGTGTATAACACTGGATCGGTGCTGACATATAATATAAAATTACATAAATTGCTGTCGAGTAGCGAAAAGCTTTGGGATATTTTTAACAAATTCGATTTTTAGGCCCAATGTTTGCGCTGTCGAAGAAATTTTGTCGGGCAACAACGGCGTGACATCGCATAGGGAGCGTGGCTGGCCAATAGACGATCGCCAGCAGCAGCATCGCACTTGCGGGCAAAATACGTTGAGTGATCCAACTCTGGACTGCGACGATCGCAGTCACCCGGTCGCTATTATGACACGAATTAATTTTTTTCTTTTTTATCTTTCTCCGAGTATAGAATCGTGAAGTATGAATGCTGCTTGGGATTCAAATCGATGTATGGATGTCCAGGGTGCACCGGTGGTAAGTAAACATGATAATGTAACTACAGTTTATTATATAAATATATAATATAATCATAAATTAAACGTTGCATAATATGCAGATAATAATAATTGGCTAATGTGGCAGCATGTCACTGTTCATTGTTTTCCAGTCTGATTATACCTTATGTTATAAATAATAAAGGTTTTTTTATAGTACCTACTTAAACTTGCAAGTATTATACATGTGCAATATACTACATGACTAGTACTTAAATATTGCATTCTCTTTAATACGTATATTAAATATGTGTTATAAAATATAATTATACGATTTTGTCAAGAAATTCTATATTTTGTTATCACGTTAGTATTTTTTTAGTTTCTTAATGCATTTAAGTAGCAACCAATATTTCCAATTTTATATTAATAAAACAGAAAACGACCGTGATAAGAAATTTAATATAGAAAATGAAATAACAAAAGAATCGCCTTATACATATGAATAATGTACATAATACGATTGTTCGAGCAACGAATGATGCGATGTCCGAAAACTAGTCAACGATTAATTAATAATTTACAGTGAAATTGGCAAAAAACGTGATGGAAACCGCTCAAGAACTCGGCGCACGGCAGTTTGTCCAGTATATCCAGCAACATGGCTTATACGATTTGTTGACCAGCGGCGGCCCATATACAATATTCGTTCCCACCGACGAAGCTTTTTCCGTATATTGACTCATATATTACTAATCCTACTATTAATTATTACTTATTACTATTAATATTATTATACAGCCAAATATACACAAAAGCCATTCATATGACATTGTAATAAATTTTTAATCTTACTATTTTTTTTCATTCCGCGTGATACGCGATTGTAGAAAATAGATAGCACATTTCGGTCAGCCATGGAGTCATACGAATCGGCCGTCGAGATACTTAGATACCATGTGGTGCCTTTGAGGATCGTGACACAAAACGTATCATCCGACGAGTTGTTGAACACGTTAAACGATGGACTTAAATTGAGGTTTAATAAGTACTCCACTAAAGTGAGTGAAATTTTCTAAGTAACACACAATAATTATAACAATATTATTAATATTGTTCACTGTATACCACGAGCAACGGTGAATATCAACCAACAAATAAGTTTTAGTTTATAAAAATTATGAAATTTTATACAGCTATAACATGTATAAATTTTAATTTTTAATGGAATTATCAAACAAAATTTAACTAACAAAAAACACATGAATGAATATTTACATTTCTAAGTACCTAACATTTTTAAACGTAATAATATTATAATTTAAAAATATTGTACATGCATACTTGTGAAAATATTCAACAAATTTGTTACCTATATATCGTTAAACATAATATGTCAATTTAACATTTATCTTAAACGATTTAAAGTATTTAGTCTTTCATTATGAATAATTTATGATTATACATATTTTATAAATAAAATTTATATAAACTATATGAAAACGTGTAATAGATATAAATTTATTGAATGATAACTGCAGATAGATATATTATAAGTACCTAAATATATTAAACATATTTAAACAACGTTAAGAGTACATAGGTAATTTATATTTTAAAAAAGACGTAGTTCTAAAATATTTGAAGATTATAATTTATACTATATTACTATGGAATAATAATTAACAATTGATTTTCATAGATCGAAACCATAAATTGTGTTACGATAATGCGTAAGAACCGAATCGCTCAAAATGGAGTGGTGCACTTGATCAATTCCGTACTAAGTCCTTACAGTTATTCAAATCGAAATTTGGTGCAAATCATAAACCAGGTCTGAGATGACTTAATAAACTTTATTCAAACTAATCAATAATATTTAAAATGGATCTTGTGTCTTTATAGAATCAAGACTTATCGATATTTTCAAAAATGCTCGAAATTTCACGTATGCATCAAAGTCTAAAAGAATCATTTCAAACACTTACGGTTATGGTTCCAACCGATACGGCACTACAACGATTACCACAAAATCAACTCAGAAGAATATTGAATGATGAGACACTTAGCAAGGGTACATGTGAAATTTATATAAAATACCTAAGTTATTATTTATATTTACCTCTATACTTTAAATGCACATATAAAATATTAAGTAAAATGTTTTAAAAATTTCAAAAAATAAAAATAAATATTTAAATCTATATAAATGATATTTGTACACAGCAATAAAATCCAGTAAGTCTATTTAAGTAAACTATTTATGATGACCAAAAAATAATCTTAAGAGTTCGTTGTACTTTAATATAATACTAGGTATATTAAAACAATCACATACCACCTATACATAGTATTAATACTTAATAGGTAAACATTATTATTTCAAATACGTATATTTTTATTCGGAAATTTTATTTAGCATTTGTGTTAAAACACATATTGCCGACACCCATTTGTTTGAGTGCTGTTACTGAAGAGCAGTATGTCAGGAGTCTGGCGGACAAAAATTACGTAAAATTCAGCTGTGACAAGACGAATGCAGTGACGGTTCAAGGAAACTGTGTCGGTAATGATTTTAAGTTATCGTCCAATGGAATTATTTACGCAATAAATTTCCCACTAAGCTCCGGAGAAGGTATATACAATATTAAATATTAAATAATATTTAAATTATATATTTAAGCAAAATATACATTTTATTGAAGAATACATATAGGTACATAAACTAGTATGAAATGATTAATTTTTATTTTAAACAAAAAATTAATTCACAATATTATATGATCATAGTAAAATGTATTATATTTATTATTATTATTACATACTCCAACATGAACCGTAGGGAAATCGGCGTTGCAAATCATGCAGCATTTGGGTCTAAGCGAATTTGTACAGATCGTTAACATCGCCGGACTCGCACAAACGTTTGAAAATTTCAACGCACTAACAGTTTTTGCGCCGACCAATCAAGCCTTAAGATGTAAGTCACAATAATAATTGTATGTACACCCATATATTTTATATGTCTATTAAGTATTCTTCACGCGAACATAGTGAATAGTATAAATTATTACAACCCGGTTATATAATGACCGGAACGTGTTTTCCAATAATGGATGACGTATAATCTACCTACCTATATAGTATAAATGTGCGTGTGAGTATAAATATTTAGCAATTTATTTGACGTAGGTATGAATCCTATGGAAATGTATCACATCCGCTCCGACCCGAATGCCGCTCGAACATTCATAGATTTTCACGTCGGAAGACAAATAATGACAATGGAGAACATTTACGACGGAAAAACTGTAGAGAGTTTTGCTCCTGGCAAACAACTTCGTCTGCAGTGTGTCCAGAACGAGTTCGGTGTCGAAGGACATCGAATTCACTTTCAATCTGTGCGGGGCTACAACGGGGCCGTTCACGTTGTCGACCATGTATTATATCCACCGACTATATCAGTGGAAGATCTTATTAAAAAAAATGATAGTTTCAGGTAAAGATTAAAAAGGTCTATGTGTAATAATAAAAGTTTCTCATTACTACCCGGTGTTGAATTTACGAATAAAAAAAGTTAATTTTAACTGTTAAAATATTTTTTTAAATACCATTTGACGTGTTTAACGCGATTCGAGGTAAATTAAGACAGAATTAAAACCGTCTTAAGTTCCTATAGGTCCGAAAATATTCAAATTTAAGTAGTTTAAACCCCGTTGGTCGCCATCTTGCAACATGTCTTATTATAGTATAATACAAGTACTTTGTTTGATACTACATTTCTAAAAACAAAATATACGTAAGTAACTACGGTGGATGACAAAATTTAAAATAAAATATTAACTACATATATTATACAAAAACATAAACTTCAGTATAGTTATGAAATTGTTTAAAACCTTACTTATATACTTTTTGAACTTGCAAAATTTAAAAAATAAATTACATAAAAATAAAATAGATTAAATAATAATACCACGAAGTATTATCATTTAATATTAAAAATTAAAATACCTCTATTATGTACCCATTTTTTTAAAATTTAAAACTATGTTTCATTATTTAAGATTCACTGCACAATGCAACATTCTGATCCCTTCTAAATAGGCATATAGCAACTTCACTATTTCAAAAATGCAGGAAAAATTCATTTCTGCGAATGTATCGAATAAATGTGCTAATTAATAAACATTTAAAATGCACTTTTGGTACCTAATTCAGTTTGTACGCGCAAGCAATGGACCTGGTACTGGGTACTTTTTCGAAGGATCGAACGTCATTCGAATTCTGCGATGACGTGCACAATACTTACTTTATACCAACAGACTATGCGTTCAAAAAACTTGGGGCTGACGAACTGCACCGATTGTTCACAAACCCTATCCGTATGAGACAAATCCTCGACAATCACCAGGCCGACCGCATCTTGCCGTCAGCGTTAATCGGCACACGTCAACAATACGAGATCAAAACAAAAAACGAAATTGTTCGCTTATCCAACGAAGATGGCAAACTTATGGTATGACATTCCTTAAGAATATATGATTAAAATAGTTAAACATTTTATGCTCAAGCTGCGCTTATAGAATTGTATTGTCTAATAATTTGTATAAAATAGTGCCCAAAGGGCAAAAATCATAGCCCCGTTATAATATATATCATCTTTTGAATGCCGAAAAAATGGCTTTTTAATGTCTTGTTATATTATTATTATCATATTACTTTATTAACTCCCTCAACATTTCATCTATAGTTGTGCCAATGTAACTATATTATTTCCAAACTTATATTTACGTTGTTTTTATATTGGATATAAATTATAAAAAGCAATTAACATTGCAACTTTAATAATTTGTTTATATGTTTGAATGTTATAATTAGGTCAACGAAGTCGAAATAATCGAAACGGATATAATGACAACCAACGGATTGATCCATGTGGTCGACGATTTAATTTTACCACAATACAGACGGAGAAATGAATGAATTTCGACAGATCGACTACACTTCATCGTTAGATAAAAAATAATAAATTATTAATTTAGTAGATGGTTTATAACACACATTAACATAATTAAAGTCGATAAAAAATCATGAACTTAGTACAAGCATTACAGCTATTTATAATTGTTTTCAATATGATGTTAAATTGTTAACTTAAAATTTATGTTCTAATAAAAAATATAACATACTTATCAAAATTTCGTATTTCTATGAAACAATTTTATATAAGATTAAACATGTATTTTATTTTTACTCACATGTATATTATGTGTGTATTTTAAGTATTTTCAATTATTTGTAATAGAATTCTATTTCCTTAGTCCTAACATTGGATCAATAATTATTAATTTATAATCAGTAGTTCGTATTGTTCGTAACAGTGTATAATGTATATTAAAATAGGAACTTGTTATATTTTTTAATATTATATCATTATTGATGATACATAGTATGGTGCTTATTTACAAATAGAGAAAAAAAATATAATTTAAGAACAAGATTTATAAAAGCACCCCATAAAAAATTAATTATCTCAACCTACAGTAATTATAATAGATATTTTATAAATTATAATAATGATTTTATAATAAACAAGATAAATAATGGTTTTTATGATATAGTAATAAAATTAAATAATATCAATTATTAGTTATAATAATATAGATCAAAATCATTAAAAAAAAAAATTCTCAAAGAATAAAATAATTTGAGATTTATATAACAGGGTAGACAAAAAGGATAATACTACAACAAAAAATGTTACCTATATTTTTAAGAAGCAATCACATTATTGATTGATAAGTACACTTGTTTTTATAATAGTATTCCCTTTTTTTTTATAAATTGTAGAGTTGTAGCCAAATTTAATTTCAAATAATATCTAAAACCAATTTGTTTTCATAGAAAAATAGCTAACATAGATCGCACATTCTCAAATTCACATATTTATCGGTTTATCTAACTTTATTTTATGTAAAAAGGATTAAAGTTCCAAGGTAACGGGTTTAGAAGGTATTGAGATAATGAACCCTAAGATGATTTTATAATTTTAGTAATTAATCTATCAAAATTTATAATTTCTGAAAATTGTTCCAAGCATAGTAAATATTACCTATTAGAACCAATATTACATCTAATTTATATTTTTGTAAAAACATTTATAAGGACAATAATTATCTTTATTATGAACCACATTTTAATACTATTTCAGAATTTGAATTAGGTGCATCAAAATATTCAAAAAAATTAAGTAATCTACAGTTTAAAAAGAGTGTTCTTATTTGAAAAATAAGTTTGATTTTAGGACATAGGACACTTCTCAAGTAAAAAAATAAAAATATGGTCTTGAATATTTAAATATTCCAAAAATTAGATTTTGAAAACTTAACTGTAATAAAAAAAAGATGAACATGACTTGGTGAAACACCCTTATATGTATGTAGGTAGTATAAAACAATGATATAAATCTAGAACCGTTGGTATCTCGTTCCTATGATTTCACACGTGAGATTGATAACAGCAACTTTTTTATTATCCATAAAATGTGTAAAAATTAAAAATATCCAATGATGATCATCTAAAAATGTTTGCTCCTCCAATTTCAAGATAAAATATTATCAAAAACAGTGACCAATCGTTAAAAACTATTTTAATAACAATTTGGAAAACAACTATAATGAAATTACTAATTAGATTTAATGCATTTTCTCTCTAACCACTAATCACAATAAAATTATAATAAATTATAATAATCTATAATTACAGTTCAATTTAAAAATAACATAGTTATTATTATAATAATGAACTTAGTATTTTGTATGATTAAAATATATTCAGTTGATGAGTTGATAATACCGGCTGTATTGCCACAAAATAGATTAAATAATAATATAGTGCTGCTAACTACTGTTATCAGCTGAATTCCGAACATTCAAAACACTCGAGTTTTACTTATAGTTGTGCATCCGTCGATTACAATTATTCACCCGCTGTCGCAAAAACGAAAATTCGACGATTTTTTAGGGCCAGATTTCCACGGTACGTGAAAGGTACAATTTGTTTTGTTTTTATAGATCTAAATAATACCCTTAACTCACCGGTTGTTAGAAGTCTTGAAACTAGTATCTGAGGTTTTCGGTCTTGCGCCAAAAACCGTACTACGCTCCGAAGAGGACTTCTGGCGACTGAAACTAAAAATCACAATTTGCAAATCATTCAACAATAATAGACATTACAATATTATGTTGATATATTAATTATTTTTCAGGTTAAGAATTGAAAAGGGCGCGCATTACATTATCATCGACCGGTGACAATATTTGATACCGTTTTGTTCAATGCAATAACACAACATATCTTCGTATTGGAGAGTTGTGCGAATTGGGACACATCGGTTAATTTGTAATAACTTTACTTACAAACGATGACGGAGATACTCAAACTGTCTGATTACGATTGCATCGGTTTCGACCTGGACAACACGTTATGCGAATATCGCATAGGGCCCATGGTGCAGATGATTTACGACGTACTAATCGATTACCTCATAAAAAATTACAATTACTCGGCCAATCATTTGCGGCAGCCGATAGATTTCGATTTTTTTCAGAGAGGTTTGATTTTGGACGCTGAAAAAGGAAACATTTTGAAAATCAATGGTGCTGGTCAGATATTGAGAGCAGCCCACGGCACAAAGTTCATGTCCGACGAAGAAATCGTATCTGTGTATGGTCCAAATAGAACTTGGTCGATTACTGATGTGTTTGTACAAAATTTTCTAGAAACCTGGAACGGACCTATGTCCGAACAAATTAGACCACTTCTTGATTTTTTTGATATTCCTGTGTCACTTGTATTTGGACGTTGTATAGACGGCATTGACAACGTATCACGTCCTCAAACCTACAGTGTTTGGCCAGATGTATTGAAAGGCTTGATCTATATGTATTCTAGAGAGAACTTTTCAGCAAATACTGGTGATTATTTTCCATACTTGAAATCGACTCCCTCTTTATATTATAATAAATGTCCCGACTATGTGCTCGCCTGGCTCAAACAACTAAAACAAACTAAAAAAGTTTTCCTGATATCAGGATCACATGTAGACTATGCAAATTTTACAGCTACACAGTCATTAGGAGAAAACTGGAAAGACTTATTTGACATAGCTGTTTTTTATTCAAGAAAACCTGGATTTTTCACTTCAAATAAACCATTTTATAGCACAGACTCTCAAATGTTAAATGAATGTGATACTGTGGAAAATATACAATTTAACAATATTTATAGTCAGGGTAATTGGAATCAATTACATGATTTATTTAAAAAAGAAACTGGAAAATCTAACCCAAAGTGCTTGTATATTGGCGATAATATATTGCAAGACGTTGTAGCACCAGCAAAGTTCTCTGGTATAGATACTATAGCTGTTGTTGAAGAGATGAAACTAGATTCGAATGATAATGATATTAATCCTGACAATAATATGTTAAGAACAAACAAATGGAGTTCATATCTAGTCGACTGTGACAAGAAAGATACATCCATTTGGACTTCATTTATTGCAAATCATGGAAAACTTTGTATTCCATCAATAAAACATTTAGCTAAAAAGCCCATAAATTTTGAATTTACGCCATTTACCAAAAGTAAAGTGGTTTTGAATGGTAATGGGTTTTTTCCATTTATACCTAATAGCTTATATAAAATTATAAAGTAATAATGTAAAAACATTAATAAACTTTTTTTAAAACATTAAATGTTTTTTGTACTGATTTGTGAATAGTTCTATAACTTAACTTAATACTATAGTTGCTACCTATTTTTTTAATGTTTAATTATGTAAACCAAATTAAATAAAAGTCACCTCATCTTAATGAAAAGTATGAATAAATTGTTAGGTTAGTAGACAGTAGTTAACCATTAAAATGAATTACAATGCTTTAGAATTAATTTTTTTCAAAAAAAAAAATAAATAATAATTGGCACATTTAGTATATTTAATAAGAACAATATAATGATATTGTTTAATTATCTAACTATAATTTTATACTGGCATTGATATTATGAAAAAGTAAAATTATACATTATAAAGTATGGACATATCCAATTATTACACATTAAATTATTTTCTATAAAAAATTTATATTAAGTTCATTAACTGAAAACATCTTAAATAGATTAATGTATTTAGTAAAAAAATACAAAATAACGTTTTTAAAAATAAATTTTAATAAACATCTAATATTTCAATGTGAATTAACGTAATAATAATCTAAAATAAAATAATTATTAACAATAATAAACACAAAAAACTTGATCATAATTCATAACCGAAAAAAAAAAATTGGCATAAAAACATTTCTATTTTAAATACAAAATAAGATTTAAAAAAATTTATCAACCCTGATTTCAGCAGAACTAATTTTCTTTGATTAGATTATGTGACACACAATAATAAATATTCCCTCAATAATGCAACCTGCAACAAAAATCATGAATTAATAATAATTTTAGACATTAATCAAAATGTAACTTACAGTCTGATGTTCTCTTATACAGAGAACAATTAAGTATTTAGTGATTATAATGTCTCAACAGCAACAGCAATACCCATTCCTCCACCAACACATAAGGACGCTATGCCTCGTTTTTTGCCAGTTCTCAATAAGATGTGTACGAGAGTTACCAATACTCTAGCACCTAAATTAAATAGATCAGGAAATTTAATCACATTTACTTAATTAATTAAAAGCATTTTTAATAAAATTTTATAAATACTACAATTCATATAACTTAAAATTTAATAATTAAGTGTGCTGAATTTTAGAAGTTAATTCAATTTTTATACTTTTAATTTTTTTTTTTTTTTTAGAAATATTAATTTAATATAACAGACATTGTCAGGGGCGCCAATGTATTTTAAAACACTTGATAATTTTATTTTGACTCAATATACCCACCCACCCACCTACTAACAAAAATATTTCTCTTCAACACAATGTAGAGCACAAATTCCTTAACTGTGTACAACAAGCACATTCGAAAGAGCAGAGACCCCACTTTTAATACCTTTTAAAGATTTAATATTTTAATGATACCTAAACATATTAATTTCTTAATCAAGTTTTACATTTTGTATAAATGTAAATAACTTTTCATTGCCCATAAGCCATAACCACCAAACATTGAAACATTGACACTAAAACTAATGATATAATTTAATCATTGGTATGTTTTAAAATAAAATATAAGTATTGAATACAACAGTGTACTAGTATGTGCTGTGTAGTGTGTATTTAACATTATTTAGTACATAACATAGCGTAATGAATAATTAATGAGCACCTATTACTTAACCAGTAGCTACCTGGGTATGTTTTACTTATAATGTAACCTAGTAAAATGTATAGACAATAAAACTGAGGTCCCTATTTTTCTTTACATTATACCCACCCACTCACTTATTTATAAATAAACTTTTGGTGTCTCTGAACACTTATTTATTAATTGTTCTAAAGGTTAAATATAAATCAATAATTTATGCCTATGGACAATGCAATATACATAATATAATATTGTTAATTAATTCAATATAAATTATATAATGTTTAGTTAAAAAACATTTTTTTTGTGAAAATAAAATTGTTTTTAATTATTAAACATAATCTTTGGAATGGTCGATCAAATAAATCAATTGACATAAGATAATTATATAATATGACATATAAAATGTTTAGGCTATGACAGAAATGATAAACCTATGACAAGCTCGGGCTCTTAATAAAACGCACAACTATTCAAAAAAAGACCATTCGTAGGAATTTTGAAAAAAAAAAATACTTTAAAATTAATTGACAAGCAAGAAAAATAAATTTCTATAAAAATGTTTTATTTGACTTTTGGATACAGAAAAATCAATAATGTATCATCCCGGGGTTATGACAATCAAGTTTTGTGATCGGCATTAAACATTTTAACATACTTTTTATGTTGTATTACAGCTCAGTTGTATTTAAACGTTTATAATTAAAACAATAATCATACCAGATGCTCCAATTGGATGACCCAATGCAATAGCACCTCCGTAGATATTTACTCTATCTGAATTTAATCCTAAATCACGTACTACAGCTATTGATTGTGCAGCAAATGCTTCATTTAGTTCAAAAATATCCACGCTATCCATTGTCCAACCAGCTTTTTCAACCTGAGAACGTAATAACATTTTTAGTTTATTACTCACTGTAAAATATGTTAAGCATCCGCACAGCTATTTGTATACTTTGTAGGTTACAGCTAATACATTATATAATGTATTATTAAAATTACTTTTGGCACTAATTAGAAATTGTTTACACCTACTGTCTTAAGTACAGCAGGTATTGGTCCGGTACCCATTATTTTTGGATCAACCCCACACTCAGCATGAGCTACAATTTTAGCCAATGGAGTACAATTTCGTTTTTTACATTCTTCTCCATTCATTAGAAGTACTACTGCAGCACCGTCATTTATTCCCGATGCATTTCCAGCTGTAACTACACCTCCATTCTAAATAGGAATAAAAACATTCCAATTAATTCTAAAATAATAATATAAGTTTATGCATTAATTTTTTTCATACCAATTTAAAAACAGGTTTCAATGCAGATAATGATTCTAAAGTAGTATCATTTTTTGGATATTCATCTGTGTCAAATATGATGGTATTCCGTCGTACTTTCACCTCAACTGGTATTATTTCATCTTTGAAGTAACCATTTTTTTGAGCTTCTGCTGTCCGTTTCTGAGACTCAAAAGCATAATTATCTTGAAGTTCCCTCGAAATATTATATTTTTCAGCAATATTTTCAGCTAAAAATAAATTTTTTTTAAATATATTTAATTAATTAATTATTTTACACTAAACCAAGATTTAAAGTGTACATGCGTAATAGACAATATAAAAAAAATTACTTTGTATTTGTTTATAAAAAAACTCATAATCATATAAGTATTTTAATGATTCAACTAATTTAAAAATAAAACATATCTTTAGATACATAATTTTTTGTGATTTCTTACCAGTAATTCCCATGTGAATATTGTTAAATGCGTCTGTTAATCCATCACATAGCATTGTATCTCTCAATTCTGTGTTACCCATTTTGATCCCAGATCGTAAATTGACAACATGTGGAGCATTGCTCATGCTTTCTTGACCACCAGCAATGACAATTGAAGAATCTCCGCATTTAATTGCCTGGTATCCAAGAACCACAGCCCTAAGGGACAATCACCTATTCTTTTTCATATAATTTAAAGAATTGTTATCCTACAGAACTTACTGCTTAGTTTTCTATGTAGATAATATAAAAATTGTAATAATTATTCATAGATAATAAATGAATTTCAACTCACTTTAGCCCAGATCCACAAAGCATGTTAATAACATGAGCGGGTACAGTGATTGGAATTCCAGCATTTATTGAAGCTTGTCGAGCTGGATTTTGACCTTGTCCAGCTGTAAGGGCCTAACAAATTTTCATAAATAAAACACACATGTTATACATTTTTATATCTTTTACACATACACATTTATTACCAAATATTAAATATTAATAATATGAAATATATGTTTTATTTACCTGTCCAAGAATAACTTCAGATACTTCATCTGTATTTACATTAGCTCTTTTAAGTACTTCTGAAATCACTACGCAGCCTAGTTGATGAGCTTTCAAAGATGACAAAGAACCACCAAATGAGCCTATAGTAAATATATAATTTTAATTAAATTCAATTAGAAACCAAACATGAATCTTGTCATAAATTATTCATTAAATCAAACAAACATACACTAGATATAATATATCATACATCATAATATCATAGTAATAACTCATCATATAACACATCAAAAAAAAAAGTCTAAGTAAATTTGAAAATGTCTTGATAGTAATATGTGATCATAAACCACAGGTCACACATGGTGAATGATAAGTTATAATATTGCTTAAAATGTATTTATTAATCTTAATAATAGACATTGTATACTTAAATTTTTTATTTGATTTTTAGTTTCAATATTGTGTTGTAACTTATACTATTGTAATTTGTAGGTACTTTAATTAACAAATGTAATACATTATTATTTATTATTATACAATTAGAGAAATAAAAAAGTTCATAAATACATTTCTAAAGAGTAGGCTAGAGCAATACTTATTTTTTTTTTAATTTTAATGCAAGGTTGTATTAGAAATTGATTAATTTAAGGAACTACTAAAATCATGGTTAAGGGACCACTACTGGTTTATTTAATATTTAATAATTTTGTAAAATGTAACTTTACATTTATATGCAAAATAAAAGTAAAAACATATTTTTTTAATATTTTGATTAAAAAAAAAAACATATGCAACATCATTATAATCATTGTATTTAATGATGTTCTATTATGTAATAACTGGAGTAATAAAAATAAAATATTTTATCAATAATATGATAAATGTTACTTGTTATATAATATAGAGTGAAATATTAGTAGAATTAATTGTAAAATCTGGTATTCTTTATTAGTATAAAATTAATAATCATAATCATAAAATGTTAAATTGTTAGGTATATAACATAATTAAAATATTTGCATAAAGTATGAAATTATCTTAAAGTTTAAAAGTTCAATTTACTTTAATAAGTACTACTTAAATTTAGATTATATTTATTATTTTTTAATGTTATTAGAATAAATCCAACAATAATTTATAATAATTTTATTAACTAGATACTTTTAAGTTTAATAATCAAAAATATAAATCATAAAATCAATTTGGGTCTTATTAAACTATATAATAATATAACTTATGTATTTTATCTATAGATTCATAAGCAATGGACACTATTAGAATTAATGGCTAATAAAGGCAATTTATTACATAAAACTATCAAAAATTTCTAAATTTCATGATAAAGTATTCCTATAATAATTATATAAATATAATTAAAAGGTACTCATCCAATATGCTATCTACCACACATTTGATGGTTTAGTATGCTATATACCAAAAATATTCTATCTACCATCATTTTATGATGGTGAAGTATGATATTCTGAATCACATTTTCAACTATTCTTCAGAATTTTTTTTAACTCACTACCACAAATTGCTTGGTTTTTAATTTTTGTACAAGTTTGATCGATTGGTAATAAACCTCATATACTTTAACAATTTTCGTACATCTCTTCATTTTGAATTATGTATCAATATAAATAACTCATAGTTGACAAACTCATAATGATAATTATTAAATAATATTTAATAATAAATAAATTAGTTAAACCACATATATAATTGACACGACTCACAAACACACACTGAATTGGTATAATATAAAGGTATACCTACTAACCTACCCAACTTACTAAGGTATAAAATATAAATATAATATGATTTGGGTTTTCAATAAAAGCTTAAACTTAAATCTTAATTGCAAAATGATAAAGTATGTATAATATACAGCATACGGCATATGGTAGATATCATACTAAACTATAATAAAATTACAGTAGATAAAATATTTAAGGTAGATAGCATATTGGACCAATTAAAAATAAATATTAACAACTTAAGTCGTCAAAAAATATATTGTATACTTATAGGTAAAAACTATTAAGTTTATATCAATTTAAATATCTAATTAAATAGCAAAGTACTTGTAAAGCAATTTGATTCTATTTATACATTATACACTATTTATACATATTACATTTTATGATTTAACACCATAAAATATACAATTTGATGCATTTAATAATAATAATTCTTACCAATTTTTTAAGACTAACTAAAAATTTAATTTATTTCATTAAAAATGTATTTAACAGATTATTATTATAAGAATTTCTATTCCACTATAATAGTAATTAAACTAATGAAAACAATTACATAGTATATAATTCAAAAATATATTAAAATATATTTTATTCATTACATTTTTTTTTTTTAAATAATCAAATAACTATAATATATCTTATAAATATTAAGTTATTTAAATTGAATACAAACTTAAATATCTTCAATATAAATAACTTATTCTTTTAAATGATTTAAGGTAATTAAATACAGTGTTATAGGACCATACAAAAAAATAATTTTATTTTCTTGAGGGATTTGAGATTATCCCTAGAATATTAGACACTAAAATAAAAAATAAGAATATAATGCACATATGCATTATTAACACAAAAAATAATAGTGGATGACAAATTTATTGGGTACTTATTATAAATTATTATTATTTGTTTTTTTATTTTTAGAATGTATGAATTCAAATTGTAAATTTACGTAATTATAAAAAAAAATATAAAATGATCAAAATACAAATTTTAAATTATAAGAATAATTCAATTTAAAATATGTGTGAAATAAAACAAAATTTAATAAGTTTTTTATTTTCTTAAGTTGAAAATAAAAATCACTAAAAACCTTTACACAAATTAATATTTAAGAATGTAATTTAATCAATCACTTAATTAAAACAAGCTTAAAACATAAGCTGCATAAATTGTTTAGTTATAAATCTATATTTAGCTAATAAATAAAAAGTAAAAATGTATAGTATTTAAAGATAAAAATAAATTGTATTTAATTAGGTATGATAGAATAATTTTAGTAATGAATAAAAAAAAGTAAATATACCATAATTAAATTGTTTTTGTTTTTTTTTTATTATTATTATTATTTTACACAAATAATTATCAAACTCAATTTAAAGAAAAATGTATAGAGCTTATAATTAAAAGACAATTTTAAATACTTTTCTAATATAAACGATTCATTAAATATAATTTGAATGCTTACCTATTGGTGTACGAACAGCAGATACAATAAATACTTCATTAGCCATGTTTAATCAGGTATTAACTCAGACTATTTAAATCTGTTCTGTAAACTTAAGCAAGTCCAGCACAAGACTATTTGGATTGCTTCAAAGTGTATTGATATTTATACAAAATAAAATCGAGATAACAATAAAATTACACTTAATTACAGTAAGTGAGTAAAACTGTTCACACTAAAGACTAATTAACAAATTAAAAAATTAAAAGATACTAATAATACTATAATAATTAAATACTACCTGCTACTAAGCAGTTAGCATTAGTAACTAGTAACTACTAACTAAAGATAAACTTGTACGATAATCAAAAATTTAAAATACCACGGTATCACACACGTCATCAATAATTGTGATAACGTAGAAACAACTGTTAGTTGATAACAGTCTTATCGTCAAAGGACAAAAATGATAATATGTATGTAAAATTATCGTATTGGTCGCGGTTTGTGACAATGGTTAACAATGCTAACATGGTTATTTCAGACGGTGCGAGTGAAAATATCATATTATATTATCGTATAAGTTGAAGTGAAAACGAAACACATCGATTGCTCATAACAATTTCGTCATTTTCCTAACTATAGTTTATATTGTCTCTAATCTTTATTAATTTTCAAGTGTTTAGCTGAATTGTAGTATAATAGTATAATACATATTTTCTTGTCGGTATTCGTCGTTAGCGTTGTCATCGATTATAAATGCCGTAAACGGAACACTGACGGCTCTATTATCAGTACGCTTAGTCGTCGTCGGTTTCTATATATCTCGCGTGGCGGCACTGCCAAAATTTCAGGACCAGTCAGTATCGAAAAATGGCAGAGTTCGTCAGGGTGACTTCCAATCCCTCTATAAATTCAGGTAAATGTAATTAAATTATAATCTATGTACGATTTCCTTCAGCTTTCAAGAAGAGTCGCGGACGTAAAACGCGATATTCCGTTGATGAGTGGACGGCCGGAGCGGGAATCCGCAATGCGGACGCCCGTCCGCCGCCACCTCCGTGGTTAGGGGTTCACTTATCAGTACAAAAATACTGAAAGGCAACAGTAAATAGTAATGCTCATTGCTTGATTCTTAGCTCTGCCTGGTCTTTTATAAATTATTGCGACTTTATGGACACGGCCCTTTGACAGTGAATATATGCGCGTTCCGCCAATCCATTCTTCCCGATGTTCAACTTCCAAATCCTAGTTAGATTATCCTGATAGACCTCACCCAACGGTTCCCGATTTACCCTTTGTACTTTCTTAGTATATTGTCTAGAAATGTAAAATCGTTACCCTCTCCCACTCAACCACTTACTAAAAATCAAAAAAAATTTTCTCCTTATTTATTAATATCACTCCCAGACAGTGGATATGAAATTAGAATCAATATTATTGTAGGAATTATTCAATTATACCTAGATACAATAAAAACATTTATTGTGTAAAATTCAATATCTGGAAAAATATTGAAATTCCTACCTTGCATTTCTATACTCTTTTTATACATTGTTTACTAACCACTTAGCAATGCCTAACACAAAGAATCAAATTTTTTTTTCTATTTTTTTATTCTTAGTTTATAATTATTATTTATTATTTTGTGTCAATATTCTGAATATAGTCATATTCATAGGTATATTATTGACTGTAACCATAGCAACTTTATAGTCAACATCTAATTTAACTGGACATTTGTGTAACATTCAAATTTATATAATACAATGCATGTACAGAATATCATATCCAAAATTGTTATATAATTGAATTTAAAATTAAACATTCTTTATCAAATTATTTTAGTAAAATTTGTTTGAAACTTAAGTATTCAAACAATCAAAAATATTCTTTTTGTCTTTTAAGTAATAATATATTTATTTAAATTATCATTCTATTACATAACATGAATCTCTAATATTTTTAAGTGGAAAACTATTAAACTAAGTTCCTGAGTATAAAATATTATTTAAATAAATAACTCAATGTTTTCTAGTTAAATTTTAAACAAATATATAGTTTTGAACACAGCATAGGTATACAAAATTCAAATGTATGTATTTCCTACATATACTATTAGGTAGAAGTAATTGTAAAATATGCATAGTTATTATTTTTATTGAATTATTAAATTATTATTTTGATTATTAAGTAGGTGAATATGTAAATACTTAAAGAGTTAAAATATTTCAATTAATAGGTATTTAGTATAATATATAATAGACAAAATATTATTGGTAGATTATCTAACTCATTTATATAATATGTAGATATACAATAACCTATTGAAATTTTACATAACTTTTCAAGTATCATTATTTATGGTTAATTTTCTATTATATATCATTTAACAGTATCACTACCTTATTTTGTTAAAATGTCATAATAATGTAATCCGAGACTTTCAAAATTTTCCATTTTCTTATCATCACAAACTTCTTTATTTTTTTTTAATAAATTTATATTTTATAAAATATGTTAACATATCATATGCTAAATATTTAATTTTTGTTTCAATAATAAATTCAATTTATGCTACAATCTAACAGTTTTTTGGTAAACAAGATTTGTTGACAATTATCTGTTAAAGATAATTGAAATTTAATTGATTTTAAAATTTTGGTGAATTTATATTTTATATTCTAATACAACATTATACACATTTATAATATAATAATAATTAAAAATTGGTGCATTGGAACTCAATATATGGAAATGATAAAGAATTGTGGTAATTGTGATAAGAGAACTAATTGCGATAAAAGTTATGGTGTATGGATGAGAAAGGAATTATTTTTATAATAATTTGAAAAATAAAAATCTTAAATTCATCAATAGTCTAAATATTAAGAGGATGTCTTATTCGCATGTGTTATTGTCTATCTAATGCATAACACAAATGTGTATTGTAAGTAGTTCTAATTTTATGTTAGCTTAAATATTTTCACTTAATTGAAATAAACGTTAAAATTGTGTATAATTCACATTTAAACATTTGTGAAACCAAGTATTGGAAATTTTTTAATAGTTGCTGATTTTAATACAGTAGAACCTTGGTTATTTGAACCTCTGTTATACAAACCCTTTATTATCCAAACTACTATTAGCGTATTCAAATGTTAAAACTTGTTGAAGCACTTATATTGATAATTTTGTCAAAAAAATATAATATTATTATTAATAATAATAATAACAATAAATATGTAATATAAAATATCTAACTGAGTTATAAAAATTTATTTTTTGTGGTTTTTTTAAATTTCCAATATTCAAAGTTTTGCATAACCAGATTAAGTGCGATCCCAATAATTAGTTTGGATAATCAAGGTTCTACTGTATTATGTTTTTTTAAATTTTAAATTTTATTGATAATATATATGTTATGAAATAATGCTATGATTTTTGAGCATTGGTTAATGTGAGTTTTGTTAATCTAGTAATGTGAATCAAATGTACTTATACAATTTCTATCATTTTAAAATGATAATATATATTATTTTTTTACTCTCAGCTTATACTGCTATTCACTACTTCACAACTTGATAAATAAATACTTGTCTAAACATATTTATTTATCTATCTTTAAATGTAACTTTGTTTATTTACCTTATAAACACCTGATAAAGTATGACTGTACAAACTTAGCATTGTAAAATAAAAAATACACTTTAAATAACATTCAATATAGATATCAATGCTATTTTGAATGATTAAATTTATTTAACACATTATTTACTATTTTTATTATTTATGACAATAATTTATATTTTAATTATGATGTAGATATGAGAGGTACATTTTATTTTCATTTTGTTTCATGCAAAAAAATATTTTTCTATCTTATTTATCAGTTGATACAATACTGTGTTATTCCTTAAATAAATATACCTTCTCAGTCATTACTAAAAAAAAAAATTAAAATGTTATGTTCTAAATTAATTTTTAAATTTTTATTTCATTAGTAGAATTATAGACATTTTATTTTGATTATTTTACTTTTTAAAAGTGATGATGTTTAGTAATAAATTGTTTAAATGTGCATATGTATTTTATTTTTTAAATGTAATATATACACGAATAATACATTTTCGTTACTGGAGGATTGTTTTCTTCAAATAACTATTTTAAAATAATATATATTATCATATTATGCTTATTTTAATCAATAATATTATAAATTGTTTATTAAAAAAAAAGAGATACATACTCTACTTTTTAGGTATTTGATTTAGATTTATTATTATTCATTCAGTCATATTGCATAATTTTCATTGCTTCAAATGAATGATTTTAAATGTGTCACATTATTAAGTTATAATATTTTTGAAGAAATGTTTTGTTGCAAAATGTATCTGATTCATGAATGTAATTATTAATTGACTATTTATCTAAGAAATGTATGGTGGTCTTAATTGTATTGTGCTGTCTATTATACCTAATTACTCAATTGATTTATTTACAGAATTATTCTTCAATTTATTATTGTAAAGAGTATTAAATAGCTTTTAATAATAGGTAGGTTTGGTAAACATATATAAATTAAGTTTATTTTATTTTATGAAAGGAAAAGAGCTTGCCCATAATTAAATATCTTTAACGAATTATTAAACAGTTTATAATATTAAGTATACTAAAATTATTGTATCTATGATCAAATAATCAGTATTTTCAATATCTATATTTCATTTTAATAATAATGTATTTTATATTTAAATAAAATTCTTAATTAAAATGAAAAATTATGTATTAAGTTTGATAGTGTGCTTATAAAGTATAAAAATAAAATAAAACATTAACGTTTATAAAGTTTTTTCAGTATTTCATCGAATGTAATATAGATTAATTGACAGTATCGTTCAATTCTTACCATTATTTGATTAGTTCTTTGCATGTCTAGTGCCATTATTATATAAGGTCGTAAAACACACGCCTTTGTGTTTGGCTTTTAACTGATTTTATTTTATTACTATTTTCAGTGTTTTATACATGGTATTTTCGTGTTATATTTTTTCTCTTTTTCAAAATTTTTGTACTATCAAACCGTTTTGATTAAATAATATTAAAATAAAAATATAAGTGTAAAATACTATATATACCTATATGATTTTATATTTTATTGTTCAGTTTACACAAAGTTTCAAAGTATTAATTAACTATCCTAATATTATTTTTACTTTAATTTAATTTTATCAGTCCCAGTGTAAAAAAAAAAAATGTTTATAAATATTATATTTTTTTTATTTTGAAAAAAATATATACTTAAAATAGGAAGTA